TGTTATTAATTGATTCATTAATTTTATACAATTTTTGTTTCAGATGTAAGAACTACACAAAATCATCTTGAAAGAATTATATTAATTTTAAGAACCCTACAATTTCAACATACAATTAACTTTTCTTATACAGAGAATTAATTTTATTATTATATACACGTATTGTAAAATTTAATAAAATTATCGTTTGAATTACTCAAAACTTTTTTTTTAACCTTATCCTTCTTAAGATGAAAGTTAAAATATACCAATGTCGTTAACTCAAGATTACTCGTGTGGGAGTCTAGTGCAGATACATCCCGGCACTAGACCCCCAGGTGGGTAATCCCGGGTTAATGTTGAAATGGGGTAAGTGGCGTTGTGTACTTCCAATAAACTTAACCTCGCTTCACGCACGTAGAATATGCGATCTCTACTAATAAATTTATTGCGAACAAAGAAACAGTTTTATAAATATTTGAAACCTTGTACAAATAGTATAATAACATATTCTCAATTGAGACAAATTATTACATTTTCAAATAATGGTCAAAAATGGCTTAACGACAATAAAAATGTGGAAAACAAGTCACATAACCTAGTTAGTTCGATTGGTATGACTCATAAAGTTTTTGAAGATCAAGATGCAGAAATTATTTTTGATGCCAGTGAAAAACAAGAAACAATTAATTTAGAAGATTTGAGAATTGAGGAGGAACCTTATGATCCTTACGAAGGAATAAATTTAAAACGTAAGTCAAAATGAAATTTGTTTTGTACAAAATTTACTTATATAGAAACTTTTTAAAAAGTTGAAGAATATACTATTTTTTAATATAACATCAATTATTTATTGATTAATTGTTTTCCAGGTGCTGTAAATGGTGTATTTGAAATAGAAGATCTGGTATCATTATTACAAAGAGATAATGTCAAAAATATTTTTGTCGCTACAGTACCTTCTGAATTATCATATGTTGACTACATAGTTATAGTAACAGGTAGATCAAAGAAACATATGCAAGCACTTGCTAATTTTGTGCGTAAAGTATATAAATTAAAGAAAAATAAAACTGATTTCTTGCCAAAAATTGAAGGAGAAAATTCAAATGATTGGATAGCTTTAGATCTAGGTAATTTTTTACTATGTTGACAAAATTTGTTATATTTTTAGAATAATTGAATACAGAATATTACATATTCCTTTTATTTTTAGGAAATATTGTATTGCATATTTTTTCAAATAATGCCAGATCATTATATGATCTGGAAGTATTATGGTCAGTTGGACCTGACTATGATGATAAAAATAAAAGTTCTACTGAAGATGACATTATGGAACAATATAACACATTTTTATCCGATTTAGAACCAATTGAGAATGACGATGATAAAGAACAAGAAATGTATAAAAAACAATAATTATAAAAGTTATATAAACTATGTTGTCTTTTATTTACTAGGATATTATTATTAAAGAAATAAAATGTTTAAAACATAATGCTTAAAAAGTAATAAGTGTGTGATCAATATTTCCTGACTCCTGTATAAACTATCAATCATTTTTTTCTCTTCCCCCTCCACTCTTTCATTTTGCTCCTCATGCTCTATTATTATGTTTTTTGAAGTATTCGCCATTCAATAAGCGTCCATATCTGAAGGCGCTTTATCGCAAACAGCAAAATGGAATCTTATCGAATTATCAACTTCATTTCATACGCTGACTAATAATTTCAATATGCATTTATATCTGAGTGAAACAATTTTGTGTTGGTATATGCAATTTAAAACCTCGTGTATCAACAAAACGTGATTAGAATAATATTCTGTTCTATCTTACAAGCTTACGAGTATCATCGGCATTTATATATCATTTGTATAACATAAAATAAAAAATAATTTTTAGAATAACATAAAATAATACATTTGATTTTTTAGTAAAAAAATAATGTAATTAAATTTCTGCGATATGATGGTGCAATTAATTTTTTAAATAGTATTTATATAGGTAATGTATACATATAAATTTTCAGTAATTCTTGTAAATAGTTTACATAAATAAAAAAATTTATCATTGTTTGCACATTATTAGTTATCAAAAATATAAAAATGTTGAAAAATATGAAAATATCAGTTTGTAATATTTTACAAGATAAATGAAAAATAGTTTTAAGTATTCTTAATTTTATGAATTATTTTATCATAAAATTCTTTATTTCAGATGAATATAGTTGGTTTAAGGTATTTAGAACTAGCATCATTAAGAAAAATATACGAAGAAAAAAAAGAATATGAAAAGATAAAGAAAATTTATTTAATCTCAAAACATGGCAAATGATTTAGATTCAGTGTGTAAAAAGAAATCAACACGTTTTATGCAAATTCCTTTGAAATCAACTGAACAGATTTATTTAATTTTTTTAATTCCAACATTGATCACTTGTTTTATATATATAATTCATTTTTCTGCTGATTTAGTAGTTGCTATACAGCACTTCAAAGAACATAACTTAGTATGGGGTTGTTGTACCATTGGTTTTATGTATGCACCAGCAATTGCATACTTTATGTTAACTGTTTCAAGACCAGATTGGTGGATGTCAAATGACGATAAACTAACGAGGAGTATCTTTTATTGGTTTTCTCTTCAACTTTGTCAATTGGTGGTCTTTGTCTTTTTTTCTCTGTATAGGTATTAATATGTTCTACTCAAAATTAATAATGGCTCTATTGATTTATATTAATTTTTTAATTATTTTATATTATAATTTTATAATTATTTTCTAGATATGCAGGTCTTATAGTATTATCTATTGAAGCTATTATTTTAAATGGAAGAGAGAGGACAGAAACTTTAAATATAGCAAGTGCTCCTGCAGCTATAGAATTATATTTTTTTTTACAAGCATGGTTTCAGGCAGTTCCACAAGCTCTTTTTCAAACACACTTACTTTTTCGTCAATCATCATTTCATCAGACTTATCAATCTGGTATTTTACTACATCTACATACAGTGTAATTCTAACTAAATTATAAATCCTAACTTATTTATTTCTAATTTTTATTAATTGTAGTAGTTGTAAAGGTGCTTTCTATTATTATGTCTGTCGTAATACTTGCTATTCAAACTACCTCTTTTCAAAGATTTGAAAGTCAACGTATTAATGGTAGAAAATTACCATGGGCAATGTGGTTAAAAAAATATTGTGTTCAGGTATTTTAATATTAAATAGAACATGATTATTTGCAACATATAAAAATAATTTGTTTTTTTAAAATATATATTTAACTTCTATAATTATAGGAACCTCATGATTTTGAAGAAAAAAAACCTCTGAAATTATCTAATATAAAGAGAAATAACACTGTAGAGGATTCTCGGGAACAAAAAGAATCTATAAAAATTCAACATGAAGATAAGAAGCAATCTGATTTTCACGTTATTTTACATCGTCAAGTGTCTGTGACACCTCCTTTACCACCTAAAAATGTATATATCACACCACCTCCAACTCCTTTACGTGGAGTTACTACAGTTACACCTTTGCCTATACCAGATGCACCAGCTCCACCAAGACCAGATTCTATATGTACAATTTCAGAAAATTCAGAATCTGAAAAATTATTTGCTAAAGCAATATCTATTGCAGATACAAAAAAAAGCATAAATACTACACAAAATTTAAAAGTTCCACAACGGAGATATTCGACAAAAGGTTTAGAAGAAGATGATCCTGTAGGAAAATTTTTGAGTTTTTTATGGTGGTTCTTTTTCATTTTAGCACGTATACTTACTATTGCCACGTTCTATGAATTTTATCCACTTTACTTATCTATTGCGCTTGGTATACATTATGGTATTATGTTAATATATCTTTTTTATTATACAAAATATTATGACATTATTACTTTTTTTCTTAATTTATGGTTAGGATTAATTTATATAGTTAGTTTAATCGAATATAGAATTAAATTTAAATATGCAGATAAGTGGGTATTGCCATATTATATTTTTGTATTAATGCAAAATACGTTCTTAACGTTATCTTGGTACTTTTACGCAGATTGGGATGGATTTTGGTATACTTATATATTTTATATTATTTTTGGAGCTATGACACTATGTATTTTATCAACTATAATTTATTGTGTTTTACTTAAACCAAAGAAACATAGGATTTATACCAGTTGACAAATGCATAAAATTGTAAAATATTCATTGAAATGTGATTCTCAAATGCTTTTAATCTTCATATTTTAACATACTTTTGCTTCATATTTATACAAATCATTTATAAAATGGATATGTTAAAAAATTATTATGGATAGAACAGTAGTAGTTGATACAATTAAAATTTACAGTTACAATTTTTTAATCTAAAATGAAAAACTGAGGACTGATATTAATCATTACATATATATTTATTACTATTATAAATTAAGTAGCTATATTTATGAAACATTCATAGAAAAATCCGTCTAAAAATTTTTACAAATAGTTACTAGATACGGCAGCATTTTTTCTTATCTACGAACTTTATATCTGTATAATAATATTACACTACGTGTTTATATACAGAAATACTTATGCGAATACTTATAAGTATTAAAATATGTATATTTCTTATTTTGTTTCCTCTCATCTTTAAAGACTTTGGATATTAAAATTTAAACACCTATCACTTTATTAGAATCACTTTATTTCCGCAATATTCGTCACTAAAAAATAAAAAATATGTCTGTAAAATAGATCAGATTATTTTATATCTGATTGCTAAATCTTGGTAGAAAATCACTTTGAGATTATTATTAAAATAGTACATTCATTCACTTATAACTATGTCATCTACTTACACACATTCCTTAATTTATCTATTATGTTTTTTTCATACATGTATATTAGAATCTCTATGAAGATTTCCTAACTGTGCTTCAAACAAAATATCATTTAATAATTTTTCAGCTATAATTCTTTGGTCTAATCTCATATTTCGGAGTTTTGCTGCAACATTTCGTCCAATTGCATCAAATTCATCTTCCATTACAAATGAATTATTGTGTGATATTTTCAAAAGATCAGAACATTCAGCTTCATCTAACTTACGTCTACGAATTAATGGATTTTCTGACCATTCATTAGATTGGTCATCAGCTTCTTCATTTCCTGCTTGCCATTCATCCTAGATAAATATAAGTTCTTAAATTCCTACAAAATTTTAATTTTTGCCATATACAATTAAGGTCGTAAACAATGTGCTTACTGTTTTGTAACATTTCCTATATCCTCTTTTTGTTCTTACTATTTCTGGACATTTATCTGCTGATAAATCAATATATATCATTGCAGGTTTTCTTTGATTAGCTTTACATTTAATTTTGTCTACCATAAAAGGATGTACTCTCTGTAGAACACTTCGATTAATAAATATAAAATATTTATATTCAACTTTAAGTATTTTAAAAATGAATAGATCTTACTTTGATATGACTTAAAAAGTTTCCAGTGGATTTTAAATTTCCATTTAAATGTTTTTGACATTGTAAACACCGTACTGTTACATTACTATCTTCTACTCTAATTACTGTAAAGAATTCTCCATCAAGTATAGCTGGTAATCGAATTGGAGTCAGAGTCATGTTTTGTTGTGTATTAGATTGTATCTGTGAAATTTGATTAGGTTGATCTTGTTCATGTTGCTCTGATTCATGTTGCTCTGATTCATGTTGCTGCTGATTTTCATGATTTTCTTGATTCTCTATGGCTGTTTGAGATGTCTGTCCACTGACTGTTTCAGATATTTCTCGCTGTTGATTTGCAGCATCGATCATACATGTGTCAAAACTTTCAATCTTTGTTTCATACCTTTGTGTAGAAAATGTGTCCATGATTTTATAATGCATGCAAAATTTATTCTAATAGGAGAGTGCGTTAAATATGAAGTCCAACAATTTTAATAAATTGTACATGAATAACTCTTCAAATATCTGAAAAAAAATAAAAGATCATGATTTTTACTGACTATGAAGCAAAATACTATTATTTATCTTGATTTATTATTGAATTTTAGATAAGCTGTTAGATAAGAATGTCATATGCATAATAAATCTAGATCAGATAATAGATGAGAGAATGTGATACATACAATCTTTAATAAAATTTCTACCTACCAACGTCAGAAAACATAGCTATATTGATACAATGCATAAATTTCTCGTTATACAGCATAAAAAGTTCTTGTAACGACGAAATATTTGATGCATTTCTTAAGGTACTGTGAGATATATGGCTGTTTAAATTCAATAGTGTGCTATCTTTGCAACTATAGCGAAGCGTGCATGCGTGAAAATAGGCGCATATTTGGTAGCACTGAAGTAAATAAAAGTATTAGTAAAATTTCATTATAATTTTAATGAATTTATATATACAAATAATAATTTTACCTCTCATACATTAATATAAAAAAAAGAGAGAAAACATTATATATTCATAAAATACATTTATAAGAAAACAAAGTCGAAAATGTAGAATATAAATAATAGAGTTAGTTTGATATTTAAATTTATGTGAGAAAAGTATTTTCTATATCTTAATATTTAATTAAAAATAAATAAATCTCTCAAGATAAAAATAAAAATATAGTTTTTTATTTGAAAGAAATAAAGCTTATATTAATAAATCCCGTATTTTAAATCACTTAAGTATTCATTGTTAATTGGTACTTCAGTTACTATTTAGTAAAAAAGTAATTTACTAATCTTTATAAGTTGTAGGGAATTTTTATGAAGTGAATGACTAACGTTGTTAGCATTGGTAACTACAGTTGGGAAAGTTGGAACTAAACATAAAAGAATTATAGGCACTGACTGTAAGTGCTAAACGTGTATAGTTTTTCACAAATTGTCTGTTTTTACTTAAACATATACGATAGTAATGATTTATTTACAAATATACATGACATAATATTTATTAAGGAATAGTTAAGCTATTGAAAAAGCAGTAAAATAAAATTTAGTAATTTGATGAGATTTTATTTACATAGATATGTCTGCACCTGGAGTAATGAATGAGGCCAAAGAAAAACGAGATGAAATATCAAAAAAAAAGGATAAAAATTATAGACAAAATAAATGTTCCCAAATTGAGGAGCATTCAGATGCAAGTTCATCTAAGAGAGTAAAATATGATGCTGCACAAAATGTATATATTGCTATTATATTACATATGTATATATGACTTTTATTTCTTTATTTATTTATTTATTTAATCATTTTCTTCTATTTGTGCATCATAGGTTAATAATACTTCATCAGAATTATCTTCCAATAATAGTGAAAAAACAAATGAATCGTTAAGCAAGAAAGAATATAGTGATAACTCATTATTAGTTATACAACATTATAATACAATATTAGATGACAGGAATAAAAGTAGAATTTTATATATGAGAAATTTTAACAATTGGATTAAAAGCATGCTTATGTGTAAGATTCTAATTTACATATACATAAAATGATAATCTTGCATGCAACAACTTTTAATTACAAATTATTTGCAGTCGAATATACTAATGAAATTCATGGAGCTCATTTAAAAGCATTAGATATGTGTTGTGGTAGAGGTGGAGATCTATTTAAATGGAAAAAATTAAATGTAACATATTTAATTTGTGCTGATTTAGCTGAAGGAACTATACGAGAATGTCAAGATAGATACAATGAAATGTTAAAACGAAATTCTGCAGAAAGAAGATATTCTCCTATTTTTTCAGCTGAATTTATAACGGCTGACTGTACAAAGGTATTTGCTTCTATTTTTTCATGAGCGCGATATTGAAAATTAGTTGTCAGAATGTAATTATTACTTTGGAATTTATAATATCATTATATATGTTCTCAATCATTGACAAAGAATGGTTTCAGGTTCGATTAAGATCAAAATTCGAAGATCCTAGTATAAAATTTGATTTGGTTAGTTGTCAATTTGCATTCCATTATTGTTTTGAGTCATTAGAACAAGCAGAATGTATGCTAAAAAATGCAAGTGAATGTTTAAAACCAGGAGGTTATTTTATTGGAACTATTCCAGATGCATATGATCTAGTGTGAGCTCATTTCTTAATATTTAGAAAATATCTTTTAATTAAAATTATATAAAAATTGTATTAGTTCTAGGTGGCAAAGATGTGATGGTAACAGTTTTGGAAATGATATTTATAATGTAGAATTTTTTTGCAACAAAACAAAACCACCACTTTTTGGTGCAAAATACCATTTTAAATTAGGCAATCTTGTTAATTGTCCAGAATTTCTTGTTTATTTACCTGTATTTCGTAAATTAGCTTTAAAATTTGGTTTAAATTTAGTAAAGTTTGAAAGGTAAAAAAAGATTTAATAGTAATAAGTTAATGTATGTTTACTGTGTTTGACAAAAATTTTATATTGTTTATTTACAGATTTGATAGCTTTTATGAACGTATGAAGGATAAGAATAAAGGTAAACTATTACTTAGTAAAATACAAGCTTTAGAAACTTATCCGCCTCGACACGGGCAAAAGCTTGCCGGCAATCCTGATAAAGATTATCAACATGCTAAAGAATATAACACACAAAAGACTTCGAATCGTCGTGAAATTGGTACTTTGTCTCAACCAGAATGGGAAGTTATTTGTTAGTATAAAATTTATATAATTTGGTAATTAAATATGTTTATTTAATTTTATTACGATAATATCGATTAATTTTATTTTAGCGCTGTATGCAGTATTTGCATTTCAAAAAATGAAATAGAAGCAAAATTAGAATATGTAAAATTCAAAACTGTGAAGTGTTAACTTTTTAGTATTGACCATTGATTTTATATTGTACCAACTAGTTTGTTCCTCTGAAAATAGACATGCATGTTGATACAATATATAATCTGATTCAATGAATTCAACAATATTACACCAAGTTAAACATGTACAATGTATTTTTATGGATTTGATCGTTCTTTATATAAACAAAATTAAATTAATATTGTATCATGATTTTACACCGTGTAGATCATCCCTATGATAGGTGCCGAAATTAATTTATATTCTAATTGCACGCTGTTGCGCGTGTATGTCTGTTCTTGTCGCACGTTATCGCTCTCCTAGCTGCGGCGCGTATATATCTGTCCTTGTCGCACGCTGATGCTCTCCTTGTCTACCGCGTTTATATGTTGTGCTTGTCGCACGCTAGTACCCTCCTTGTCTAATGACGCTAGACAAGGAAAGCAATAGTGTGCGACAAGGACATCCTTCGATCTATTGAAAAAAAAATTCAACTTTTTACACATACCTTTTTCTAGGACAAAACATACATAGAAAGAAAGCGAGGAGTCTAATTTTAAGGAGGCGTATAAAAAAGTTCGCAAATTATTTCTCTTAATTAGGTTTTTTTCCTAATTAGTGCGAACTGTCATAAAATGGACATGGTGGCGCCATCTAGCGGCAACACAGTGGTACTAATTATTTATAAAAATACTTATTTCTGCATTTTACGGGTCAAATGGGGTATGAAAAAAAAGCTAAGGGTCTAATTAGGGTAATACAATCGCCAAAGTTCACAATCCATTTCGCTAAATTAGGTTTTTTCGCAAATGAAAATTTCTCTGAAAAACATTTCTTACTCCGTAAAATAGAGAAATTTTGCGACAAGGACAATATAAATTAGTTCCACCATTTCACCGCTACGCGACGCTAGTATTTTAATACCTCTAGCGGTTAGCACATCCAGTCTTTCCTTAGTATACCAGTTTCAAAGACACGAATGTTACGAATCGTAAGTGGATGCCGCTTAGCTATGGCTCAAGTGCGATCTTTAGGTTAAGCATGCACCCTGCGGAACAGCTCTAGGATGGATGCGGTGCCGTTTCTTGGCTCAAGCTAGAGGTTCCTAATAAACCGTGCGTCTGAGGTTAGGAGTCGCCGGCATCAGCCCTATTGATGAATCTGGCGGTGACTGAGACGAAATACATTCCACCTTCTATATCCTTCTACAACCTTACATTATACATAAAATCATTCGCTACAGAAATTTCACCTTTAGTACCATCTACTGACGAATTGTAAATTGTATATTTTCAGTTATATATAGCTATATCTATGTACAAAAAATGAAAAGTCACATGCAAGAGCAAAGGAAGCAGTTCCTTCTTTCAGTAACCGACCCAACTAAGTTTTATTTGTTCTGCGTGACACTCTCAACCAATAGGTATTCTTAAATTTAAGAATGGATTGGAAATAACCAACCAGATCCACATTCTTTTCGGGGAACTTCTCATCTCTGCACACGTGTTAATGCAAGTATAAGTCATCGTTTCGAATCTTGAGATTATTGAGTTATTACAGTTGAATTCGGTTAAAATATATTTAATTTTATACAAAATATAAAAATAATAATCAAATTTTACAATTTGTTTTGCTTCGGGGATTACGAGAGAAATAATTGTAATTATAGAAGACGAGAAACTAATTTTTTTTATATAATCATTTATAGTGATTGCTATTTTATGTCTAAACGAGTTCAAATATGTTTCATTGCGTTTGTGATATTAAGAAAATGGAAGAAACTTTTTTACCCATTGAGCTACATTTTATAAAAATAAACTTATGAATTTTTATGCAAAATAAAATTTGTTAATCTTTATATAAGTATATAATTTTAAATATATAACGTCTTTTCTAACTAGACTATGTATATTAAAAATAAATTAACAGAACTATGAACGTTTAGTTCATATGAAATTATATAACAATCTTTTTATTTTATATATTTCTTTGAATGATTGATGAAATTTTAAAAACTTAATAAAAGGTAACTTAACAACTGTAACTTTTATTATACGATGTTTTCTGTGCACATGTTACAAATTTCGATATTCGATTTTATGTCGCAAACATTTCCATTTAGAAATTGAAGTTTGTGACAACGGACGAACAAACATTAGATATTTCTTTTCAAAATCAAAACGAGTTTTCATCAATAGGAAAATCCAACTCATGTATTAACAAATTTTCATTGCAAATTGTTCATAAAATCGTAAGCGTTAACATTTATAACCAACGTTATTGCAAGAAAACATGACTGAATAGTCAGGTACGGACTGCGAGACAAAGGGTTATATTGGACATCAAATAGGCGGAGCAAAGATGCGCATGCGCAGTTAGGTATTTTCGATACTTAGACTGGGTCTCCTATATGATCTAAGCCAAGCGTAGGCTCGGCTGCAGTCGAAGTGTATAGTCGAATAACGACTGAGTAGTGTGGTGTGTGTGGCCCCCAGTTCTCTTTACTTCTCTCGCTTCTGTTAGTCCTCGCGTTGCTAGAGTCTATCAGTCGCGTTCGCATGAGAAATGGAGCTTGAGCAACCAACAATGCAGTCGAATTCCGATTCAGTAAGTGACGAATTAGTATTTATTTGTTTCGCTGCATTTATCTACGTGTACAGTTTTTCAATATTTTGCCTTATATTATGGCTTTTCTCTTGTATTCACGGCATAGTCGTGGACGCGAAATTTTTCTAAGTCCCAAAATGGCGTCTGCGACTAAGTCCTACCTGGCTTGCCTTACACCGCCAGACGTTAAGTCCGATAGAAGAGTAGATGGTTATATACCACGTATCAATCTTGTTAAAATGATATTTTTATATGAATTTTATTGTTCTAGGAAAGAAAGATTAAGGAGAATAGCAGCATGACTGGAAATCATAGTGGTAAGCAATTTATTCGTATGCATTCTGACAGAGCTGAAATCGAAACTTTATAGCAGTAAATATTAAGTTCGATGCGACGACTAAGTTGAGGCTGCCAACGACCCAACCGGTCTGACACGTGTTTCGGCTCTGACGAAGTATCCGAACTACTTCCTGAAATTCAAATTTAGTTTTATTTTTTAAGTTGGCACTTGCTTGCATTTTGTATTGCAAAAATTTAGAATTTTCATTTTTTGAAGTAGAAATGATTTTATTAATTTAATTTAATTAAATTTTTATAAATTTAAATGATTTAAATTTCCTTTAATTTCGCTCATTTATAGTTAGCTCTTATATAGTTATGAAAGAAATAATATTATCTTTGTAGTATACGTTTAAATAAATATTTCAAAACATGGATGTAATATATTTTAATTCAAAAATACAAGTAACAAAGTTTTTTTTAAATAATATTTTAGTAATTATGAAACTTTAGTTGAATGATTGTTGATGGAAAAAAAAATAATTACAATTAATTTTTTCCAGATGCCCATATAAATGGCATGTCAAATGGATTTGATAAAAAAAGAGAACACAAGTCAGAACATAGGGATAAAGACAAGGAACGGTCTCACAAGTCTGATCATAAAGACAAAGAAAGAAGCAAAGAAAAAGATAGGAATCATAAAAGTGAACACAGGGATAAGGAAAAGGATAGACATAAACACAGTTCTAATTCTATTAAAGAAAAGGATAAACATGATAGTAATAGCAGTAGCAAAGATAAGGACAAGGAAAGAAAAAGTAGCTCATCATTGAGCAAAGACAAAGAACATAAAAGTAGTTCTTCAACTAGTTCTTCAAGCAAAGATAGAGAAAAGGATAAAAGCAAAGACAAAGAACATCATCATAAATCTAGCTCTAGTTCTAGTTCTAAGGATAAAGATAGGTATGATTTAATATAATTTTACAATAAGTGCTTTTTTATGTTTTTATATAAGAAATTATATTATATTATAGGCATCACAGTAGTTCCAAGGATAAAGAAAATAAAGAAAAGGACAAAGACAAAAATAAGGATAGGGATAAATATAAACATAGTATAAGTTCAAGTTCCCGGGACAAAGATAAGGATAAAAATATTTCTAAAGATAAAGAAAAGGAGAGAAAACATTCATTAGAAAAGGACAAGGAAAGACATTCTGCATCTCATGCAAATGATAAAGAAAAACATCGCTCTTCTGAAAAAGACAAAGACAAACATAGTTTGTCGAGTAAGGATAAGCATCGCCAGGATAAAGAAAAAGATCGACATCGTCATGACAAAGAAAAATGTAAGTTATAATATAAAATGTATAATAAAAATAATAAGTATTGTTTTCATTTGATCTAATCCGTAGCAAAACACAAAGAAGATAAAGATAAGAAAGAAAAAAAGAAGGAAGAAATTAAGGTAAAAGAAGAGGTAATGGATGTAAAACCTAATCACATAGTAAATGAAGAATTTCAGTTTAATGTTGGTCATACTTTGAAACATGAAGTAAAACATGAAGTAAAAGAAGTAAATATATATCCTTTTTAATATATTTGATCTTAAGATGAAGCGAATTTCAGTAACAAAATAATAAATTAATTTAAAACAATAAATTATAGGAACCTATATCACAAATTGAACCAGAAGATGATGATGACAGTGGTGGTGAACAACCATTATATATTAAAGTTGATGAAGACGAAGAGGAACCTATCAATGAAGAAGAAGGAAGTATGGATTCAACTGATGGAAATGATACAAGACTCTCAGATCTTCATAATACAACAATTAAAACTGAAGAAGATTCGGATGAAGACATGCCCTTAGTAAGTTAAATTTATATTAATATGCATATTTATTTATATATATTTATGTATCAAATTCTTAGACACATCTTATAGATATATAAATATAAATATATACAGGATGTCCCCAAAATTGTATAGCCATAATGTGAGTTTACATATGAAAATAAGTCAAAAAAAGAATAAAATTTTTTCACATGGCGCCTGGTTTTCGAGGAAATAAAATTTGAAAAGTTATCAAGTACATGTGTATTAAGGCAATTTTTAACGAAACGTATTCAGTCTATTTTCTTAAAAATGAAGCTATAAATGAACAAATTTTTTTACTTATTTTTGCACATAGAGTAACCTGTTAATTATTATTTCTTGTCACGTCTAGAATTAGCTAAATTCAAGTATACTTAAAAAATTTTAAAATTCGATTTTCTCGTAAACGAGGAATCATATGGAAAAATTTTATTCTTTTTTTTCACTTATTTTGACATGTAGACTCATACATTCTACTATGATTTTGACAGTCTATACATATGTATAACAAAAATAATATAACATTATATATTATATTACATATTATTAATAAAATAACTAATTATACAGAGTGCAAGAGCTCCTGCAAGTGGTAAAAGAAGTTTAGATTCAGAAGAAGAAGATGACCTTCCTCTCTCAGCACGTAAAAAGCCTAAGAAAAACGATACAAAAACAAAAAAAAAGAAACGAAAATATGATGATGAAGATGAAGATGAAATTGAACAAGTAAATATGTATTTACATGTGACTCTGTCGTGCTTGTTGCTCAGACGTACCTTAGTCACAATTGGTAGCGTCTGATGTTTGTTCGGTTTTTGAGTCTGAGCACAGACAGGCAGGATATCTGCAGTAATATATAAATATCTTAATAATATATAACCAATATCATTAATGATATAATGATGTTATAATTTTATTTAACTTTAGAATAAAATTTTGCAGAAACCAAAGAAGAAAGGTGTAAGAACATCAAAAGGAGAAAATTCCAGTCCAAGAAAAAAGAAACAAGAAGAAGAGCAAGAAGTTTGGAAATGGTAAAGTTTGCTATGATTTGAAATTTCCGCAAAAATTACCTCACATAAATAAGTAAGGTTATGTCATCTAACCTTTTGTTTAGTCTAACCTTGTGAACACGTTCTTTAACATTAAATATGTACATTTTGTTTCAGTAAAAAATGTTTAACATTTTTGAAAATATTAGAATAACATCTTCGATAAATTTATATTATATTTATAGATATTTTAAAAAACCAAAATTACTTAAATGTGTATCTTTCTTAAGGTTACATATATATCTATTTTAAGATTTAATATATAAGCCAAGTACAAAATAAAAATAAATGAAAAGTAAATAAAAAAATTGTTATAGGTGGGAAGAAGAAAAAAAAAATGATGGTACAAAATGGACATTTCTGCAACATAAAGGACCAGTATTTGCACCTCCATATGAACCACTTCCTCCTGATATAAAGTTTTACTATAATGGAAAAGAAATGAAATTAAGTCAAGACACAGAAGAAGTTGCAACTTTTTATGCACGTATGTTGGATCATGATTATACTACGAAGCCTGCATTTAATAAGAACTTCTTTGATGATTGGAGAGAAGTGATGACTGAATCAGAGAGAGCTAAAATAGTTGATTTGAGTAAGTGTAATTTCAAAGAAATACATTCATATTTTCTTCAAAAAAGCGAAGAACGAAAAGCAATGTCAAAAGAAGAAAAGCAGAAAATTAAAGAGAAAAATGAAGAAATTCAAAAAGAATATGGTTTTTGCATTATCGATGGACATAAGGAAAAAATAGGCAATTTTAAAATTGAACCACCTGGTTTATTTAGAGGTCGTGGTGAACATCCAAAAATGGGTAAATTGAAAAGAAGAGTTATGCCAGAAGATATTCTTATTAACTGTTCCAAAGATTCTGATATACCAAAGCCACCACCAGGCCATAAGTGGAAGGAAGTTCGGCATGATCCTAATGTTACTTGGCTTGCATCTTGGACAGAAAATATTCAAGGACAAGTGAAATATGTTATGTTGAATCCATCAAGCAAACTTAAAGGAGAGAAAGATTGGCAAAAATATGAGACTGCTAGAAAATTGCTGCTAGGAAATCCGCAATTAATAGATAAAATACGTGCAGAATATAGAGAAGATTGGAAAAGTAAAGAAATGCGTATAAGACAAAGAGCTGTTGCATTGTATTTTATAGATAAATTAGCTCTCAGAGCTGGTAATGAAAAGGATGAAGATCAAGCAGATACTGTAGGTTGTTGTTCACTACGTGTAGAACATATTACATTGCATGAACAAAAGGATGGAAAAGAGTATGTAGTTGTATTTGATTTCTTAGGTATGTTTATTTTTTTATATATAAATTAGACAAAAATGAAATTTTTAATATAATATAATTTAATATAATAAATACATATATTATTTTAATATATTTGTAGGTAAGGATTCTATAAGATATTATAATGAAGTGCCAGTAGAAAAAAGAGTATTCAAAAATTTACAACTTTTTATGGAAAATAAATCACCAAGTGATGATTTATTTGATCGGCTTAATACAACTGTTATGAATAAACATTTAAATGAATTGATGGAAGGACTCACTGCTAAAGTATTCAGGACATATAACGCTTCATGGACATTACAACAGCAATTAAATGAATTGACAAATCCTGATGATACAGAAGCAGAAAAAATTTTATCATATAATAGAGCAAATCGAGCTGTTGCAATACTATGTAATCACCAACGTTCAGTGCCTAAAACACATGCAAAATCCATGGAAAATCTTAAGGCAAAAATAGAGGCTAAGAAAAATGCTATAAGTGAAGCAGAGTTAGCGGTAAAGGATGCTAAACGCGATGCAAAACATGGGTCTGTCAAAGAAAAAGTGTATGTATTGATTAATTATTATTAAAAATTAAATAATATTATATTTTACTATATATTCATTATTACAGTGTATATGAAAAGAAGAAAAAGGCTCTTGACAGATTAAAAGAGCAATTGACAAAACTGGAGGTTCAAGCAACAGATAAGGAAGAGAATAAAGAAATTGCATTGGGCACCTCCAAATTGAATTATCTTGATCCTAGAATTACAGTTGCATGGTAACTTTGATTCTTTTTTTATTTTACATTAAATATTACGTTCATACAAATTTAAATTATTAATTTTATATTATTTAGGTGTAAGAAACATAATGTCCCTATTGAAAAGATTTATAATAAAACTCAGAGGGATAAATTCAGATGGGCAATAGACATGGCAGGACCTGACTATGTATTTTAACCCCATAGAAGATTAATTATTACGAAAAATAACTCTCACTGATTGTATTTAGTGAAATTTTCGTTAAACTTATCAAGGGAAAAGTAATGGTATAATTTTCTATATTTACAAACGATAAATGTGAGAATGTGAAGACATATTTTGTATAGAACACTACGTTAAATTTCGGTAAAGACTTTATATTCAGTATGTAATCAACACATACTTGTAGTCTAGAATTGATCGTTTAGCAATCATTGCATAAAAATTTTAGCGATCGCATTTGCATATAGACGTTTAATTGATCTTATAAATATTAGAAATGAAACTTGTATAGTTTGACAAAAATTTAAATTCATGTTAGGTAGAAATTTATAATATTTGTGAATTAAAAAAACAAAATTTGTGCAAGTAAATCTAAATTTAGAGAACTTAATTTAAAATTACTTCATTAGAACAAGAATTTTACAGTCTCTAAATTTAGAAGTGCACAACACATATGGGCTGTTGCATTGTATATAGAACTGTTCATGAAAACTTTGCCAGCCAATAAAGAAGAGGTATATTGTATTAGGTCTATAAAAATCCGACTGCCGAATGAGCAGTTAATTTTATATTCCTTTAACTTGTTTTTTCTTACAAGTGTACAATGTCATCAATGAAAAGTTACATGTATTTTGCATTCTGAGACGTTGGAATCATGCGCTCTGTGTGAATTTTTTTAGTATAAAAAATTTATTAGGCCGAAATTGCAGTAGCAAACTCGATTGGAATATACTGTCCCAAAAAATGACATGATATAATGTATTTAAAAAGTAGATTATTGCTTTTAGCGATTTATGCTTTATAAAACGAAACATTTAGTCTATAATAAATGTGAACACAGTGTATCCTTAACATTTTTTTAGTATTTGTACACTTAAAAACCTTGTGATCACCATGAAATATTGTAAAAGAAAACTGTTTCAATATATTAGAAATTAGTTATATATAACTATAATTGAATTTTGTTTGATCGTATCAACTTGTCATTTTAATATAGATGAACCTGTATTTAGTAGTAAAATACTCAATTTATTGCAATATTTTTCAAAATCCTTTACCTTATATATGTTAATTATTTGTACAAGATATTCTACAATTAAAGAATATCTTTGTTTATGTGACTAATGGGACTCAAATTGCAGATTAATTTTTGAATGTAAAATATATTATTTTAAACTTTTATAAGTCATAATTCATGTTTAGAATAGATAAACCTATTTGCTTATTTATCTTGGAATATAGACCAGAGACGAGTAATTTTTTTAAATTGCTTAGGATATATTCACATTGTAGATTTTGTAACAAATATATCATTTCTTTCATAAAAATATTCATTTATGTTGCTAAATTTAATGTTAATTACTCGTCACTGACAACGTATTCCCAAATCACTGTGTTATATGCATATGTACACAAATGATCATTTACACTCATATATAAATATATATTTAAGAAAGCTGCAATGGTAAAATTATACAAATATGTAATTAGAATGGTGGTTATTTTAATAACTTTTATTTTAAAACATACTGACCACAAATTAGTCCATTTTATTTAAAAATTAAGTATACTGATGCGTTTTAAGAGATGTTATGAAGTTATTAAAGGCCACCATTCTCACAAAACTGCCAATTGTATGAAGAGTCGCATAATTTAATCGTCTGCTATGCTATAAACTAGTTTCATTATATATATATATATTTTATTTATATCTTATTTTATTAATAATTCAAAGTGAATATTCTATTCATTTACAATATTTCACGATCTAAAATATTAATCTCTTATAACGTATATCGTTTTATATTTCCTTTTTTTTTTAAATATTGATGATTATAAAGACGAAACTGGTACTGTATATCAGACTACATTAATTTATACGATGATCAAGTAGACTGAATTTAAGATATATATATATGTGCGTATGTATGTCGTATTATTCTTAATTTACTTTATTATTAAAGTAATTTGCAATATAGAAATTAATAACTAATTAACATGACATTATAATGAAATACAATCATTAAGTAGGCCTCTGATATCAGATATTTTATGCACATAACATCAAATATAACATTTTTAACTTTTGCAAGAGATGAAAAATAAAAATACAATCGATATCTAGTACAATGAAATATGCACAAATTGAAAGTGTATGTATATTTCAAACATTATCATTTCTATACGATACTGGAATAATAAAACTTATAGTGCAAAAAATAAATTGATTTATTTATATAATCATTTTAAATATTCATATATTTACTAATAATAATAATAATAATAATAATAATAGTAGTAGTAATAATTCGAAGATTTCAGATATATCTCATCAAACTATAGGTGTGCTTTATTTTGAAGTAAAAGAAATAGAACTCAAGAATATTTTACTTTTATTGGTTTATTATTAAAGAACAAAGTACAATAATATACTATTATATTACTGCAGTTAGTGATGATAGTAATAAATTATTAATAATTTAATTCCAATAATTGTGTAAATTTGTAATAAATATTAAAGATGTAAAAACATACAAACATAACGTTCCATGTGCGTGTAATATAATTTAGTCCCAAATTAAATAAATATTAAATATTTTATCATTATTGCAAGCCAGAAAATAAAATACATAAAAACATATTTAGATATTTAAATAAATTATATATCAAAAAATATGCAATAAAATTAAAAAATAATTAAAGAAATAAAATATATTTGTAATTTATATTCTGGCTAATGAAACACTCACAATACATAATTTAACTGAAAGGAGAGAAGTAATATTATAACAAAAGATAACTTATTGAAATACAATTTTATATCTAATAAAAAATTAATTTTTGAATTATTTATGGTACAAAAAGTTTTTTATGCAGCATTGAAAATTAACTCTTATTAATTATGTAAAAATCAATATAACAGCAGAAATTTGTTATCTTCTCATAATGCATACTACACAGTATTTGATTTGGTATATAAAATATAAAATTTTGATTTAAGATTTAATAAAATCATTTTTTTTTTCTATTCTTTTTGGCTATTATGTCACAGCAGAATAATTACCAACATGGTAGTTCCTACTTTAAAAAAGGACTAGACTATGTTAAATCACTATTTTGTTACGATTTTTATACGTAACAAAATAAATATTATAAATCAAAAATTAAAGCATTTTTTTGAATGCTTACATAAGTTGCATTCTACAATGTTAAATTTTATTTTATTTACAGTACCAATCAACATCCACTTGTTAGTAAAATTCTTTTTTTCAATGAAAAGTTGTAGTTTTTTAAAGAGCAATTTAAACTGAAAATTATCAACAGAAATGCTATTTTTTACTTAGCAATATTTAGTAATTATAAATTGTATAAGATACTTTTTTATGAGTACTGTAATTTGATCTATCATACTAAAAATATAAAAATCGTTTTATTGTCTTTCATAAGTGTTTATATGAATTATTTCAATCCTAATAGTAATAGTAGTAGTATCAGTAGTAATAATATAGTAATAACAATAATGATAATGATAAAAATAATAAAATCATCTACAAAACACGAAGCGATACATGTGAATGTACCTATAAAGAAAACTTATTGTACAAAACATTCAATTAATCAGAATTAAATGTTTTTCAACGAATTTCGTAAATTTGTTTCATATAAGTGTAATATTAAAAAAGCATAAATGCTTATTAAAATATTACAGTATTCAACTATTTTGAAAACAATTAGATTTAAACACGCGTAATATTTTTGAATACTAGCGTATATCTCGATTTATAATCGATTTATAATAATCAGTTCGTATTGCTGTAATTGAATTGAGCAATACGTGTTCTGTTATCTATAAATTATCGTCCATTTATTTGTATTAGAACATTATACCAAGTTTACTTTTGAAAATTTATCACAATACATCGAGATATCAATCGATGTAAATTAGTACATACAATTTCATGATGATCAGTTTCTTTAATGAAGCATTAAATTTTGCAATTTCATTCTGGATCAGTTTCTCCTTCTCCAATCGCCAATACTGTAACAAGACCAGCAGCTGCTACCTTAGCTTTATATGCCTCCGGTTCGAACCAGCGAATCGGTTCCTATTAAATAAAAAATGTTTAATTGCATAATTGTAAATAATAAAATATTATTAAAGAGTAATTATTGTAATTTCTAAATTACCTTGATATGATGTTATAAGCAGCATGCTTTGAAATCGTAAAGCAAGTGTTAAATGGTTTATGTAAAGGCATGCCGTTTTAGTGTAGTTACATTACACAAACGTTTTCCAACAATTTTTAAATAGAAGAAGAATTTATCACATTTGTATTATAATGTATAAACTACATGACTTTAAAAAATACAAAGTAAAAATGTTTATTATTTTAAAAATCCCATAAGTATTATACAATAATATTCAATATATAAATCTTAATACATAAATTTAATACTTTTTTTCATATATCTTCAAAATAAAAATTGCAATGATGTTTTTTTAAATATATTTAATGTTTAAATTTAAATTGAATATGCATAACAAACTATGCTATTATTAAACAAATTATAACATTTATAAACTAAAAACAATAATGACTTAGAAGACTATAAAGTTTAAAATAATACAACGTATAACAAACATACAATATAACATATTTTCGTTTTTAATTTACATTATTAATTAAATCCCTAAATCATAAAAGAAGATGAATATATAGATTATTTAACTTTTAGTAACAAAATAAAATATAATTAAAAAAAAAACGATAGTTTATATAATAATACTGTATATTGTAAGATTGCAATTTATCTAACGAAATAAACATATATCAATAAAATAAAATCTAATGATAAACATCAAGATATTATTATAATTCGAAGATATTATACTCCTTTAATTAAAATACAACAAAGAAGAAAAAAAAGTGGTTAATATAAAACAAGTCTTATATGTAATCAGTTCTCTATATAATACTGATAAAAACAATTTTTTTGGTCAAAAAATCAAGTATCACAAAAATCATTGTAATTACATCAAATTTTTGGTTTAAGTACGCACATGTTAAATACATATGCTTTTACGAGTATTTAAAATATCAACCATATAATTTAATGTTTACATCAGAAAAAATATATATAAGAATATCTCCCTGATTAAACTTAAATATTACTAAGTCAAAATTGCTTTCCACTAATGGAAAATATCTTCTACTTTTCTTACGCTATCATGCTATTACTGCTTTTAATAATGTAACGAGATTCAATATTTAAGGGCGAATATTTTCAAGATGAAATGAGTAAAAACATAACAGTCACTTTAGTCTCAGCACATTTCAGTATAGGAAATGAACGTAAGTTCTCTCAAGTAGCTGAATTAATTTCGGAACATTAATCTTATATCATGTTGCAAAGAAAATTAGTAAGTAACACTGTCGTACATCAGGTGATTAGCATTGGTATCACATTGATGTACCTTGCGAACAATGTTGGGACATTCCTTTTGAATGCGAGCCCAATCTGCAGGCGGTCGTTTAGCATAGGGGCCTGTTGAACACAGCAATAAAAACTCATATGTGAGTTCTCTAACTTCTGGAACTAAAGTATTACATATCAAAATATTATCTTCCGTAAATAAAAATCTTTAATAATCACTCGAAATTGTTACCTTCCTGAGTTGATGAATTTGGTTCAGATATTACATGAGATTTATAAGTTTCTTCACTTTCTGAAGTCGCAGTACTATCCATATTTAATTCTCGGCCTTCGTTTGTATTATTTGAAATTAATAATGTTTTTTGTGTACTGGAAGACGAAATCGAATATGGGGATTCTTCTTCGAAATTGAAATATTCTATACCACTTGTAAAATTTTCAGAATCTCCCAAGAAATATTCGTCTAAAACTAGTTTTGCAGTCTAACATACAAAGTAATTATGTTAAAAATAATAATACGCAAATAATAATACGCAATGTTTAAAAAAAATATTATTACCCTAACAAGATCGAGATTGCATCCTGTAATTTTTAAAGACTGGTTACCAACTGTAACCGTATATTTATATTCGCCTATACTGGCGTCGTTGGTGGAGAAGCTGTGGAGGAGTGAACTTCGTAAACGGGAGTTTTGTTGCTGATGTTGCAGTCGATTACTTTCATCTGATGCACTACTATTTAGTGATGAGCTAGAACCACCCATAGCTCCTTTTTCTCCTCCACCTTGCTCCAATCTCACCGGTGATGCATTTCGTTGAATCGTATCTTTTATCAAATCCTTCGCGTAACTGACATAATAAGGAATAAAAAATAAATTAGATATACCAAATTTGATGAACAATTATAAATAGTCAAAATTGAACTCACTGTATCTTGTCCTCGGAAGTTCCCGTGATTTGGACAAGTCGTTCTTTGGCTCCAGGGTTTACTACGAAAAAAGCATTATATCATAAATATTTTATAATATTAATAAAATGTTAAATTTTTGTTATCAATCAAAATTTATTACAAGTATTCATTTGCATTGTGGTTAATGTGCAATTTGTCAATGCAAAATTATCAATGAATATGTATTAAATATACTGTTCAAACACTCCAAAACAAATTATTTATATATTAAAACGTTAAAAAATTTAACATTAATTGCGTGAATATTTCCTGTAAAAAAAGACAAGATAAATTTTTAAATATGTTTAAATCTATAAGCATTTATAAGCAATAAACAAAATTATATGAAATGCATAAAATATTGAATTGTAACGTCAAATATTACTCGGCATTTTATACTTATTGAAATGTGATTTAATTAATAAGCTGCAAACAGTATGCATACTAATGATAATAAAAATATAATACAGTATAAAAAAAATTTTGGGCAATCTCACAACAACATTTTCACAATAACATCATTAAGTGATTAACATAATAACATATAAAGGCAAAATATTTCATGCAAATAAAAATGTAAATTACAACACAACTTATATTCGTGAATGTACATAAATATTATTTATATATTTAATGTTGTATAAGTTAAATTCATCTATTTATATATTTTACTAAGAAAAAGCTTTCAATATATTCATTCTAATATTTTATACACGAATATATAACAAGTATTTAACGAAATGTTTAATCATAAGAACAAAAAATTCTGATTTCTATTACTTTATAAAATAAACTGATGTAATGCATTTATTAAAATATAAAGATATTAAAAAATACATAATTATTATACATAGTTATTTTTGTAATGCGTGGACATGATGCTATTAAGCCATCTGCAAATTGTTTGTTTACCTCGCTGGAAGGAGATGATTGTCTGGCTGAGCTCTTCGATCATGTGAACCCGCCGCCCTTTTATCCCCATCACTGTATTTTTGTGCAAATGATTTAGAAGTAGAAACATAATACTTACTACTTACAATAGATGTGAAAAACAGTATATAAAATATAAGGTATTTCAACAAACAGATTCAAAAATAAAGTGCAATAATAATTTGAAATTAAAATAAACCATTCAGAAATTAAAACAATTAAGCCATATTCTACATTATATTACGATGTCTTGTATGTATATTTCATCTACAATATACATATTGTTAATATAATATAAAAACTTTGAATTTTTCTTACCTTTACCAGAATCACTGTTACGTATAACAACTTCATCTTTACAGTAGTTTTTCCCAGGAATACGTGTGGGTTTAACAAATTTGCCACTATTTTTTATAACTTCACCAGGTCCTAAAATAGGTGCCACAGTAGGGGAAATCATCGTTGACATAGGAGATGACAATGGATTTGTAGATGTATCAGGAATTGCTTCTGCCTGTTGATTTTGAATGATTTTATAAATCTTTGCTTTATAATATAAAATAACATAATAAAGTACAATACGACTTACATTATCCAAATGTGATAATTTTTGTGTATAATATACATCCATAGAATCAGTGTGACGCCATTGCTTTGCTCTTAATTCTATAAGTTCCAGCAGGTGAACCCTAGTCGTCAAATCTAGCTTTTCGTCTTGACTTCCATTTCTGATTGCCACAAAAGCTCTATCTAGCTGATCTACACATTAAATGAAAAAAAATTGAGATTATTAATATATTATTCATTCCATGTTTTGTATTGAACATATTACTTTAAACTGTACCTTTATAAATTGCTTCTAATTGATGAGCATATAATTTTAAATGATTACACATAGTGATCACACTTATTTGCAGCGTTCGGTCATGGAAGCCATTAGTTAGTTGCATTGCAACATTGTCGATTAAGGACACTATGTCCTCCACTGTAAAATATAATTTTTCAACTTTAAAAATTATAATAGCTAAAATCAATGATCAAGCATTATAAATGAAGTAAATAAAAGAATAAAATGTACTCAAATCTGCATACTTCAAGTTAAAATGAGACACAGTAAATGATATATTATATAAGTAAATTAATTAACAATATATTACTAGTCGTAATCCGCCCATCGACGGTCGCGTGGCGTTGAGTAAGTTTAAGCGGCCGAGGTTTTTCTACTTTTTTGATGGTTCTTGCTCGGTTCAGTTGTGTTGCGGCCATTCTCTACAATCTTAAACAAAGAAAACGAATGAAAATGCAAATTAAACACAAAAATTACTAAGTAAACATTAAACACAATAGTATATAAAACATAAAAATCATAAAAAGTATAAAATTACCTAATGTAACCTTTATTTAAAAAAAATTTACTTTCACATAGTTAGAAAGTACACATTTCAGACACTACCTTTAAGAAACCATAAGCACAAAATGAGTGTAGGATTTTCTAGTCGATTTCTTTTCACACACTATTGAAAGTCTTCATAATGACAATATAGAAACAATATTATTTGTATGATCAATATAGTTTATACAATTATTATTTGTATTTTTTTTTTTTTTATAACTTGACATTTTGAGATTGACGGTCAAAAAGGGGAGGAATATTTTAATATCTTAAGTTTAATCATTTTGAAGAACATATTCTTCGAAATTTTCAATGTATAATTCTGCGCCGCGGGTGATTTAAAAATAACTACGGAAAAGAGTCGTTTATGAAGAAAATAATAACCAATAGCAGGAGGATAAAAAAATCGAGTGTTTAATATACTAACGTGGATTTTAATTTGTTACAGTTGTTGGAGTTGATGCGAAACGTCGAGTCTTTATAATAGTAGGTTATTTTACTGTAGTCTACGTAGCGATAAAAATAATTTATACAGTCCCCATGCGAGCGCCTCTGGCACTTTCGACATCTTGTAAGGCACATTAGAAGAAGAAGGAAAATGTATAAAGAACAAAGAGAGATAGTAAGCAAAAGAAAGGAGAAAACAAGAGTGGGGGAGGAAAAGTGGGAGGGAAGAGCAAAAAATAAAAATAAAAAAAAAGAGAAAAATATAAATTATTGAAATTTTGCAAAATACAAGGCAAATAATATAAATAAAATTTTTCACTTGGAAATCAAAATGTTGAATTTTATTAAGGTAGTAATTAACATGAATATTAATTAACATTGTAAAATCTAAGATTGTGCTAGCTATGATATATCATGTGAAGGAACTTGACACTTAACACTAATCAAATTGTTATATTCAAGAAACAGTATCTACAATTTTTGTAACTACTAAGGCACTTACCACCACGTCGACCGTACCACAGATCAACGACAGGCAGATCGTCTGAAAGAAATCGGTAAGATATGTCGTTAACATACGTTCCGAATATATATTCAAGTGTCATTTAAAACAATGATACCAACATGACATTTAAAATTCACCAGCAGAAGGAGTTAGCTGGTGTCTTGTGTTTTTCAATCTTTCGCATTCAACTTCATATAGATTAAAAGGATTAAATTTGCATAAATAAATTATTGACATTGAAAACATTTTATTCAGTCAGTAAGAAGCATTCTACATGATGATGATGATGATGATGTTGATGAAGATGATGATGATAATGATGATGATCATGATAATGATAATATAATAATAATAATCAGAATAATCATAATTATAATAATAATAATATTAATTTATAATAATAATTCATTCATAATAACCATTTGTAATATACAGGTAATTCTCTCGCGCGCACACGCTCGCTCTCGTTCTCTCACGTACACTAAATTGTCTTAATACATAAATTATAGAAAATTCATCAATAAATGAAATATTACATTCTTCAGACTATAAATGTAGTCAATAAATCATTTTATACTCGTTTTTGCTGCAAAGATATTTTGTTTCTCCTTTTAGTTTGTTTTTTTTTCGGCAGCGTTGTTGGATTTGAAGGACTACTTTAAACTCCCTGCCCACAGTAACGTTTACATACTTTGTGCTTTCTTTGTACATTGCTAAAAAATTCATACCTGCTGAGCAGGTCAAAGATAACAAACTCTAAATACTTCTCTTTATAAGGCATAATATGTTCCATTATATTTCACAACAAAATTACCATATCAGTAAGTGTATAAATAAACAATAACACAACAATGTAAACGCAACTGACGCAGTTGTATTATTGTAAATCCATATTTCTATTGATTTGAGGTAGTGTATTCAATGTAACCCTATTACTTTGCTGCTATATGTTGTGTGTGGATATGTGTCTCGTATGAATATTTTTCACACCCATACACTTTTACTATAAGTCCAAAATATGTAAAACATATTAGGAAAATTTATGTCTAGTAAAACAGATGTAGCCATAAACATTTTTATAATTCAAATTTCTTCTCTATTTATTGCAATTAGTATGATATCTTTCAATGAATATTTATAAACAGTTTGGAATGTAGAAATGAAGAATATACACTATGTATATATGTATATATATAAATATACACACACGCACGCACACGAGTTAGTATTTTGGACTTACAGTTATTTCAGTTGTAAGTGTGCTTCAAAAATTATCATCTATGTATAAAGTATGAGAAAACTAAATGTCGGGCAAATTTTGAAACCGATTGTAATTTTGCATTAATTAATTTGTACATATCGTACATTAATCGAGTATGAGATTTTGTAAGTATTCTTTGACGTTATTAATCAAAATCTTCCCGCTATTCAGTATTCCAACTTCATTTACCAAATACGACAAGGCTGCTGACATTAGGCTTGCTAGCACTTGTAAATAATGCCCAGCAATTGTGCTATTCCGTTAGTTTCTTTAACTATTATTTCATGAATAATTTATCACATTTTAATCGTCTTCACAGATTGAAAAAGAGAGGGCATATGTAACATCATGCATTACCAAGTTGACTCAATCTATGAACACTTTTGTAAAAAATATAACATCTATGGATGGTTGAGCCCTTGGTTAGCATATAGCGAATTAGTACTTTTGAAGGTAATGCGGATCACTTCTGCAGGAACAACTACTGGATACAAATATCCATGTATGATCTATATTAAATGTATTTGACATCATTCTTCCTTTACCTTAAAAGGAAACATTGCTTCTGGGTCTAAAAAGATACCCAAAGTTATATCTAATACTTAAGAAATGGAACCTATTTAAGCACAAGATATGGATGTTCTTTACAATTTGATTGTACAAATTCTTTACTCTATTGCAGAAGTGATTTTCGCTCTAGTCTTCGTATATTTAGTTTTTCTTTCAATATCACACATACCCCCTCTCTAAGAAACTAAATACAGTAAACTCAAATAGGAATTGAGAAATTGACAATATCAATTTTGAATTTTGACACATTCGTGTTATCCTTATATTACTTTTAATATAAGTTTAACAACTTAACCAAATCAATGTAAAGTCAAAACAACAAATACAATGCATAAACACATTGTAAAAAATTAAACTTAACATAAATGTGACTCACATCAAGATATAATAGCCTCAACAGTTTACCAGGGGAAAACACAAACGAAACATACATATAATAGTAAAACTATTAACTACTACACTACTCTAAAATAGCGAGAAAATCCTAAGACACGCGATATCGCACGATGAACAATATTTTTAGAAATTACAGAATATTTGCAATTTCTAAAGTCATTTTTCTTTATTAAACTTGAATTTTCTAATTCTTGCATTGAATGTCTTGTGATTTTTACGCTTCTGTAACAATTAATTCAATATTATCCCTCCTGCTATGTTACTGGTTTCCTCATTTATAGCTGGAGAATATCTCAAAATAAAGCAGAAAATTTTTCTGCTTTCAACTTGTACGTTTAACTTGCAATTTTAGATCTTGGAGCCGAAATCCATTATTTGATTAATGGTGTCACGATTATACGTAATTTTCTTTTATAAGTTAAGCTCGTATGTACCTTGACATTATTCTTCACGTATTTAATATCATCAGAATATCATTTTTTGTGACTTATGGAACATTTCAACTCCACAGATAAAAATTGATTTTAGACAACAATTAAAGATTAAAATCATTATTAACTATAATTATCAATTACACGACCATTAGTATGTCTTATGTAGTAATAAATTACCATCGTGCTATTTTATTTCACCGTTGACGATTGTTTTTTTTTTTATTACTAGTTGTTTATGAGTTATTTAGCTTAACTTATTAACGAGTATTAATGGCATCTGCGTTTGTCAAGAAGAATTGAAGTAAATTTGCATTTTACCTTAATTATTAATGCTGTACGAAACTCAGCTTTTCAAATTTTTATAAACTCGATTTAATGATGCCGTTTTTTCTTGAAACCTGTTGAAAAAAAAAGAATTTAAATCACATTATGAATAAGAAATTTTAAGCATGTTTAGCAAATTTAAATTATTTACTCTTTTTAGCTTTGCTTTTTTTCTGAGCTTTTCTCTTTTTAGCAGATACAGAAGATGATTCCCCAAAAGTTGTAATTTCTTCTCCAAGTGTACCAAGAGTTGTTATCTGGCGACGTCTGTGTTTTTCTTGTTTAGTAATAGGTAAACGCGTCATATAATTTTCTTCGTATTCTACCTTTCGTTTATTCTCTCGACCTAGACTAGCTTGTTTCTCTCCTAAACCGTGTTTTTCTTCAATAGGCGCATCTAAATATTCTTCTTTTAATTCTCTTAAAACAACACTAGATATTGCACGTCTACGAGCTCTTTCTCCTGCTTTACGAATTTTTTCAGCGACTGTCTCATCTCCATCTGTAAATAAAAAGTACAAGATATTTAAGTATGATATTTTTCTGTCTTTAAATATTACATTATTTTAATTGTTATTACGTGTACATAGATTTATATTCATAAATACTGACCATAATGTACCGCAGCAAGTTTTGGTGGTACATAAATATTAGATTTTCTTGCCTGTGTTGATTTAAAACCATCTACTTTACCATCTTGATCACTATCAGACTCTTCGTCATTACTTTCAAATGCGTCCGGATTTGCTTTAAAATTAGTTGGATCATCACTGTTAATAGTACCAGTTACAGCAGTCTTAACAAGTTTATCTATTTGATATTTTAGTTTGTGATCTATTGGTCGGATTTTTTCTAGGACAGTCCTTATTTCAATTAAGCGATCAATTGATGGATCTCCTTCTATACGCTCTCCTGAACATTTTCTCAAAACTACATAAGTCAAATTAATCAGATAGGAAAGTAACATATGATACTTCATTTCTAGAAAACTAAGACCCTTGTCCGTAGAAATTTCCCCATTTTTAACACGGACCAACATATTGTCTACAAGTTGATTCACTTGCAAGACATTAGCATTCATCTCCCCAAGCAAACGAAATGCCTGTGGGAGATCTCTTTGTTCCATTTCATCAATTGCCTGCAAACATAACATTTTATTATTAAAAAATGGCTTGTGCAATTCAATAGGACAATTTAAATATACACGTTACATAAAAAAAGATTATATACCCTCATTATTTAAAAAAGAAAAAAATATTCATAAATAAACAGTATATTCATAATTCATTCATGTCAGAATGTTAAACTTTCATTTTCTATAAATTCGAATATTCTTTAAAAATATCACTTAAAATTTCTATATCACTTAAAATTTCTATACGGTCTTTCACCGTATTTGACACAAGTTCAGTATACAAAAATCATTATGTATTTTATTTATTTCAACATTAATCACATTTTATTTAAGAAATGAAATACGCGCTAAATTTTGTTCGTAAAACTGAAGCGTAACCAATGTTTTCATACAAATTTCACCCGAAAACTTATAGAAAGGCTTAATTTTAAGAAAAATGTCGGACCCGTGAATGTACAGGAAAAAAGCGCAATAATCTGCTGCCATCTTTCCTATTTACTAATGGATGACAACGGAAAAAAAAACAATCAAAAATTTCCAATAGACCTGATAGAAAAATGCATTGATTTAGGCAAACTGCGTAAAAATTTATCAAGATAATATACTTAAAAGTTTCCACTCACCTGTACCATTGTTCTGAAATAAAAATTAACCGAACAGATGCATATCTAAATAACGTAACTTGTAATTAAACGAGTCCCCACGTGGGACGATATTTTCCTTTTCGGGGGTATATTTTTTCGCTCGGAAAAGCTTGATCAAAATACCTTCTATTATGTAGTAAAAATGTTTCAATTTTTTATCAAAACTAAATTCTTTATTACTTAAAAATAATTATTTTTATATATTAAGAATTTATAATGCAAAAATGAAATAGATTAAATCGTCGATTAAGTAACACTTTGCATTTATAAAAGATTCACTTCCTTTTCATTTGCAAGGATAAAAAATTGCGGGAATTTTAAGAATAAACGTAGTAAGAATACTTTTTACACACGATTGTTATAAGGAAAATATTATATACTATTTCTATACACAAATTAGAATAACATCAAATGAAATGATTTAAATAAAGGGATATTTAAAATAAAAACTATCATTTGTAATAAAGTTAAAATCATTGCAGGAGAAGGATTCAATTTTTATTTTGCTCTCGCGTCTGTTTAAACTTGATAAAACATGGATAACTACACAGTTGTGGAAATTAAAAGTACTTCTTATTTTGAACAATTCCATTAGTAAATATTGTATTGATAAATGTAACATAAAGATGAACGTGTTGTATGTATGAGTGGGTAAAAATAAGCGCTAGGGAATTTTATAAGAAATCATTCTTGTACTACTTTACCAACTTATGTTTCGATACGAACTTCATGTTGAAGTGAATTTCGTTTTTGACGTGAACGCAGTTGAAACTTTCCGAGTAACAATTAAAAATAAAGTTAGTGGTTTGGCGTGACGCGCCTTTGACGAAAACAATATTAAAGAATGGTAAGTATCTTTTTTAAAATTATTTTCATGTGTTTAAAAAGTGTTAAGTTTAAATGTCACAAAATAGAAATGTTGAACTGATGTGGCGGTTCTCTTTCGATATATTTTCTAATTTCATAACGACAGTATTCGTAAAGTACAATTCCATTAATCCTGTCAGAGTATTATTACAGATTATGCTAAAAGTATTTTAAGTGTTAGTGCCGTAGCTGGTCAAAATTAATAAAATGTATCACCGTTGCAAAATGTATGCATACACATTTGTACTTAGATAATATATTTATAAATAAATTATGTTTTAAATTATTTCATTGAACTTATAAACTGTTACATATATTACGTATTTCTGCTAACAGGGAAGATTAAGAAAAAGCAGTGCAATATTTGTAATAATATCCTTATTAATTGAAACAAATGGCTTTTATGTGCCTGGTGTTGCCCCTGTGGAATTTAAAAAAGGACAGAAAATTGATGTTAAAGCAGTTAAAATGACCAGTACTCATACACAATTACCATATGAATATTATTCTGTCCCATTTTGTAGACCAAAAAATGGAAGTTTTATTTGGAAATCAGAAAATTTAGGAGAAGTGTTACGCGGTGACAGGTGAGACTGCTTGTTTGTTATTTTATTTGTAAAATGTAATTTGATTTTCCTTATGTAGAATTGTAAATACACCATATGAAGTATTAATGGCTGAAGATATAAGCTGTAGATTATTATGCCATGGACATAATAACCTTATGACATGGAATGAAGAAGAGTCACAGCGTGTTATAGAGCGTATTCAACATGATTATACTGTGCATTTGTAAGTGTATATTTGAATTATAATTTGTGTTAATATGTGCTTGTAGTAATTTTTGTTTCTTCTTAGGTTAATTGATAATTTACCAGCAGCAACAAAAAAGGTTCATAAAGATACAAATAATGTAATTGTATATCATGGATATCGTTTGGGTGGTATTATGAATGACCAATATTACATTAATAATTATCTTAAATTAAAATTAAGTTACCATAAATATGGAGAGTTAGTATAAATAACATCATTTGATATGATTGTTAATGTTGTGTAATTTTGTGTTGTATAAAATATAATTATCTTTTTACTTTTCACAGAAATGAATTTAGAGTAGTTGGATTTGAAGTAGAAGCTCGTTCAATTGATGTAAATCAATTAAAGTTTGATGGAGCTACTTGTATAGTGCCCACACATTCTCAAGCAAATCCTCAGTTTGTTAATCCCAAAGGAACCAAACTTCTGTTTTTATATTCTGTTGAGTGGAGACAGTCTGATGTGAGTTGGGCAAGTAGATGGGATATATATCTAGGAATGAGTGATGTCGAAATTCATTGGTTTTCAATTATCAATTCACTTATTGTAGTCATTTTCCTTTCTGGTAAATATACATTATACGTGTTTTTAATTCCCTTGTTTTAAATTTTATATACAAAAGTTTTTAATAAAATTATTATACATAGGGATTTTAACAATGATCATGGTTCGAACTCTAAGGAGAGACATTGCACGGTACAATGCTGGTGAAAGTGACAGTTTAGCAGGTTTAGATGAAGCAATTGAAGAAACTGGATGGAAACTTGTTCATGGAGACGTATTTCGTCCACCACCAAATCCACGATTATTTGCTGCTGTGATAGGCAGTGGAATTCAAATATTTTTTATGGCTTTAATCACAATATGTAAGATTTTATATTTCTATATGAATAAATAATAAATTAATTATTTTACATTACTTTTCTTATATATTTTCAGTTTTTGCTATGTTGGGAATGCTTTCTCCTGCTAGCAGAGGTGCACTTGGAACATGTGCAATATTTTTGTATGTGTCTTCTGGTGTAATTGCTGGATATTTTTCAGCACGTCTTTATAAAACAATGCGTGGTCGAAAATGGAGAAGAACAGCATTACTGGTAAGGATGAATTGCGCTAAATAAACTGTAAAAGGCAAGATAAAATTTACTGTTATGATACAATATTGTAACATTATACAATTTATCACAGACAGCAACGCTCTATCCTGGAATAGTATTTACCACTTGTTTCTTTTTAAATTTCTTCATTTGGGGGAAGCATAGTTCTGGTGCAGTACCATTTACAACAATGTTAACATTATTATGTTTATGGTTTTGTATATCACTTCCCCTTGTATATCTTGGGTATTTCTTTGGATATCGTAAACAACCTTTTACTCATCCTGTTAGAACGAATCAAATTCCTAGACAAGTTCCTGATCAGTTATGGTATATGAATCCAATACTGTGGTGAGTTTATAGAATTAATATATTAATATATCAATATATATCAGTTTTATTATGTTACAAATAAAATTTGTTTATTATAATTGTTGCAGTACACTAATGGCTGGAATTCTTCCTTTTGGTGCTGTTTTTATAGAATTATTTTTCATTTTAACAGCGTTATGGGAAAATCAATTTTATTATCTTTTTGGATTTCTCTTCCTTGTTTTCTGTATACTTGTCATTTCGTGTTCTCAAATATCCATAGTTATGGTCTATTTCCAATTATGTGGAGAAGTGAGTAATAAATAGTTATTTTCAATCTTATTTATAACATATATACTCATGATTCATTTTACTCTTTATTAGGATTACCGATGGTGGTGGAGAAGCTTTATTGTTAGTGGAGGATCAGCTGTATATGTCCTAGCCTACTCAATTTTTTATTTTATGACAAAATTAGAAATAACCGAACTGATTCCAACACTTTTATATTTTGGTTACACTGGATTAATGGTATTAACGTTTTGGTTATTAACAGGTACAATAGGTTTCTTTGCCGCTTACGCATTCATTCGCAAAATATATGCTGCTGTAAAAATAGACTAGTCAAATTAATCATTGATTTTATGATTAAAAAAGGTAACATTTTTTAATGTTTCCTTTCAAAGAATGTTTAATTTCTTTAAATTAATTGTATGAAACCAAAACAGTACAATAGTTTATTTTCATTTTTGTTAGATTAATCTAATTTGAAAAAAAAGAAGGTTAATAATACATTTACCAAATAATATTCTTAAATGTTATAAAATTTTATTTATAACAAAAAATATGTAAAGCAAATGAAGGAAAAAAAATTGTGATTAAAGAAAGTGATGTATAATTTAGTTCATTGCATTATTAATACATGATCTTCATTTTTTGTTGTTTAATAGATCTTAAATTAGTATTTAATTATTATTAAAGTACTTATAATTCATAAAGCAAGATACTGCTCATTCAGCAGAGAATATATACATACATATAAAGAGAATGCATAGACTATATTAATATTACTTGCTTTTGAAATAAAATGTATAAAAATACTAACGAATGTAATATTAATTATAGTCAATGCCAAATATAATAATATTAATTCGTAATTCTAGATTTTATTGCAATGAAATAATAATTTTATAAGTTATATCTATAAATATTTGTTACTACACGTGCACCATCAAATGCATATAATGTACCATTAATAATGTTAAATTACTTACATCATTTACATTTGGAAAAACTAAAGTATATGTTACTCCTTATTGTTCTGTATAGTCTTACAGAATGTTCATCAATTATGTATAACATTTATTTTTGATATAGTTGTGAAGATCGATCTATATTTTTAATTATTCAAGTATCATATTTAGTAAATCAATATGCTACAATGTTTTATATATAAAATCTTTAATATTGGCTGACTAAATGTATAAGACATTTATAGATTTTGTACATGTTACAATGATTATATTTGCAAGTTTTCTTATAGTCTTTTATATTTGTGCATATTTTCTATTCCAAGAGAATAATTGTTTGATAAAATAATGAAAAGAAAATTGAAACATGTATAATTTTCAAGATTTAATACAATTGAGATTCTATTTGATTTGATTAATAATAATGAAAATAAATATAAATATTTTATACTATGAATAGTGTAAATAATATGTAACTAATATGTTTATTTTATATATAAGAAAATATACACAAAGATATCATTAATTCGAGGCTTATATTTTTATGATTTTACTCATATTTATAGTTACTTATAATCTTACTGCATTTTTTTATAAATACGAATATTAATAATATGAATAAATAGAAACATATCTTCAGTGAAATTTCAAAAGATAATATCGATTTTGTTTTAGTTTACATTTTATAATAAAATATATAAAGATACATACTATACTAATAATATAAATTTTGATCTCTGTAGATTCCACAGGCATGTAACATTTTGATACAGAATAATTATTAGGAGTAAATACACCCTGAAATATAAGTATTATTTTAAGTATGTATATAATAACAAAATCATAAAATTTAATTAAATAATTTTTAAAAATTTGTACCACTTACTAGTAAAAGTGAGGGATTATTCTTATTACGCCAATTGAAAGATGGTATTGTAAATTCTAATATATCTTTTCTATGTATTCTCCTACAACCATGATGAGTGTGGCCATTAATGATCAGTCTTGGATTCAATATATCTAGAAGCTGTAAGTTGATTTTTTTTATAGAAATTTACAAGCTCAATTATAACAATCCTTATAAGATATTTTATGTACTTGTTCAGATGCTTCCTTTGACAAGCATTCCCATCGTTCTCTAAACTTGATATCTTTTATTTCATCTGGTGCTTGATCAAGTTCATTGCAAATTTCATCAGACTCACGATACATAGGATAATGCTACAATTGTAATTTAAGTTATATTATCATTCTTATTTTATGAAATATTATTTACTGACCTGTAAAATGATTGGTCTACTATATCTTGAAATTGCATTATCTTTGTTACAATTATTTCCCATATTTTTTGCACATTTTAAATGTGCTGAAAAATATTTTTGTTTATACATAAGTTTCAATTTTGTTAAGTATTTACTTTTCTAACAAAAAGTAATCTTACTGGCAATTTTATTTAATGCAATTTCTGTAGGACGACATAAAAAGCATCCATCTCCTTCCAGTGCCATACTATTAATTAAAACAAAGTGATTTCCTCTGATACTAACTCTTTTCACGCTTGGTGACTTCATACCATTTACAAATCGTTGATTTAAGTATGGTGAAATTACTAAATAAATATTTTTTTTATTAAGAATATTATATTAATTCTATAAAATTGATGATATTTTACAATACCATAATGAAATCCAATATCATGATTTCCAGCGACAACATAGAGATGAGTGTGTTTAGATACTGAAAATAATGAGTGAAATCTTTGTATATATTGGTCAAATTCTGCTGAACTACTCCATTGTCCTTCATCAAATAAATCACCTGTTGTAATTACAATATAGTTATTAATTATATCAAATTGTTGGTATTATATATCAATTATATCATTATATATATTCTATGACACATACATATATCACATACCTAATATAAAAATTATATCTGGCTTGTGAAGAGTGACCATAGTTTGGAATGCTCTATACATTTGCCATTCTCTGTATAAAGTAAATATTGATTTTATTAAGAAGAAATTACTTTTGAAAACATATGGAAAGTTTATTATTCATCTACTATTATATGGTAAAGTCGAACCTTCTTAATTTATCAAACCAATGTCCATTTTTTGAACCCAATAAATGAGTATCTGCTATAAACATTGCATGCACTGGAGTTTCTTCTGGTGTGGGTTGACTAATTGTTGTATCAATCTTATGAGATTCTAAAACTGGCCATGCACACTGTAATATCAAATACAATATATAAAATTTCCAAACTTCATAATTATTCTAATATTTTTGTAACTTACCTGAATAAGTACCAAATAATATAGTAAATATTCGCAGAAAATAAACACACACGCTAAAGCTATAACAGCTTCAATGAAATACTTTTTATATGAAGATGTTCTGGTATCTAGCATTTTGTAAATGTTTTAAAAGATATAAATCACTTAAAATGCAATTATAAGTAGATATATATATTACATATCAAATAGTTTCTTCGTTTTAAGTGAGATAAGAATTGATGTAAAATTTTTATCATTGTATCATATATTTAGCTTAAAAATGTATATTTTATTTTTATTTGTTTTAAATGTTGCAAATAAATATATGTTTCTTAGATGAAATGTTACTAAGAAATAATGTGTTTTTATGTCATGATATGTGAATTCACTATTTTATGTCACTTATAAAATTATTAGTTTAGAACAGAAATATAAGGTTACAATACTACGCGTGATTGGAATTAATAACTTAGTATATTATTTTCTGTAGATAATTTGAATCAATTAAAGTAGAAAAACATTTGTAAATTCCAATTCATAAATGTTTCTTTATTTGTAATAATATATGACAACAATATATCAATAAATATTAAGATATCGTTACTAAGAACGAGACTAGAAACGAGATTTTGATTATGATGGTGCAATGAAAGAGTCAACTATTGAATGTTATGAGAAAACTATATTTATTAATAAATATTGATACACAAACAGATTTGGAAATTAAATACATAAAAATAATATTGAATGAAATTACATAATGAAAATAATATGCATATATATGTATAATGATCGCTTTCTTAACATTATTAATTATTGATTATATATCAAATATTCATACAAGAATATTTAAAGTACAAATTTTAATATGTTGAATATTTATTGCAAATATTTAATAATTGTATTTATATGCATCTATGATTATATTGCATAAATAAAAATATAAAATAGTATGTACATATAGAAAAGTCAATATAAAAATAAAAATCAATTGTGATATCAAAGTATATATTTGCTATATGTTTGTAAACGATTTTAATCATTTCTTGTTTTCTTGTTAATTGTTTTTATATATATCAAGTATAGTACAGTAAGTTGAGGTCAAAGTCTTTGAAAAGTATAGCAAATTGTATAGGTTAGATTAATACCCACGTTTGCACGCATGCGTAGTTACCGGCGTTTTTACTTTCGTACAGTGATTCCATGTGCAGATTTAATATACTATTTTTTTTAGGGCGTGTGCATGTGATTTAAAAACATGGCACAATATAGATTATTGGGCGCAATTGCGAGTTTGTCGCATATTAACAAAAATGTTATAGCACAAAACGGTAATTATAAATAAAGAAAAAGTTATACTTTTACACAGGCGTATATATGAACCTTTGCTCCCAAGTAAACTTATCTTCTCTACTATACGTATATGTCACATAAGATAAAATACATTATATATTTAATTTATTTAAAATTAAGTTAGTGAAAAATTTCAATATAAAATTTTAATAAATGTAAAATAGCAAATGTTAATTTAGAAATAAAGCTATTTTGATTTGTTAATTATATTTTATTATACATAATTTTTGTTTTCAGTATTGTACAAGTCAGTAAGAACAATAAGTAATCCAGCAAATGCAAAACATTTGAAATACAAAGTTGTGGATAATGTAGCAGTCCTTACTTTAGATTCTCCAGGGATTAAGGTATATAATATATTTATATGCATGTATATAACTATTACAGTACTATTATCATTAATAATTTGGATGTTAAAATTTTAAATGTAAAAGATTGCAATGTAATTGCAATGTAAAGTACTATGTCAAAGATTAATAAAAATGATTAATATTTCATACAATATAGGTAAATACCTTAAACCAAGAAGTAATGGATGAAATTGTAGATGTTTTAAAAAATATAGAACATAATTCTACTGTAAATTCAGTAGTTTTAATAAGTGGAAAACCAGGATGTTTTATTGCTGGTGCTGATATTACTATGGTACAAAGTTTTAAAACGCCAGAAGATGGCTATAAAATATCTTCCAATGGTCAGAAAATTTTAGAGACAATAGAAAAAAGCCAAAAGCCAATTGTAGCTGCAATTCAAGGTAGCTGCTTAGGAGGAGGTCTTGAGGTATATAATTTAGTAGATTCATATACTATTTTTAGAAAAGCTATAATTTTAATTATCCATACTTTTATTTAATCAATATAGGTAGCCATGGCATGTCATTATCGGCTTGCTGTAAATGATCAAAAAACTAGTTTGGGTTTACCAGAAGTAATGTTAGGTCTTTTACCTGGTGCAGGTGGTACACAAAGATTACCTAGATTAATATCACTTCCTAATGCTTTAGATATGACTCTTACTGGAAAAAATCTTAAAGCAATCAAAGCTAAACAAGTTGGACTTGTGGATATTTTAGTAAATCATCTTGGTCCTGGTATTGGAACACCACAAGAAAAGTAAGAGCTATTAATTTTATACATATTCGTATAAAATATAAAATGTAAAAAAAATTATATCTCTGTGAAATATTTGTAGTACTATGAGGTATTTAGAAGAAACTGCTATTAAAGCTGCAAAAGATCTTGCAAGTGGAACATTAAAAGTAGTTCGAGGTCCTAAAACATTGATTGATAAAATTATGAATTTTGCTTTATCTTATGAGTTTGTGAAGAATCAAGTATTTACCAGGGCAAAAAATGAAGTGATAAAAAAGACTGGGGGGTTGTACCCTGCACCCTTAAAAATTTTGGATGTAATACGTACTGGTATAGATAAGGGACATAAAGCTGGTTATGAAGCAGAGGCTAAAGCCTTTGGTGAATTGGCAGTTACACCTCAATGTAAAGGTCTTATAAGTTTATTTTTTGGACAAACAGCATGTAAAAGAAATCGTTTTGGAGCATCCAAGAATGCTATTAAGTATATATATTTTGATATGTATTATTATTTATCGTATAAAAATAATTGTTTTTTATGGAATTTTAAATTTATATATGGATTTTAGAAAAATTGCTGTTGTTGGCGCTGGGCTTATGGGAGCAGGCATTGTTCAAGTGAGCATAGATAAAGATTTTAATGTAGTTATGAAAGATACAAATGAGGCGGGTTTATATCGTGGTGTTAATCAAGTGCAGAAAGGAATGGATACTGCAGTGAAAAGAAAGAAATACTCTAAGTTAGTTTTCAATTCTTTATTAAAAACATGACGTGCACACGCTGTTTTATAAAAACATAGGCTTTTAAATTCTGTCCTAATTTTGAAATTATTTAATTTATTTTTTAGTGTTCAAAAAGACAAATATTTTTCTCAACTTGAGTCTACATTAACTTATGATTCATTTAAAAATGCAGATTTAGTCATAGAAGCTGTATTTGAAGATATTGCAATTAAACATAAAGTTATAAAAGAAATTGAGAAGAATACACCAGACTATTGCGTACTTGCGACAAATACATCAGCAATTCCTATTACTGAAATCGCTGCTGGTAGTAGTCGTCCAGATAAGGTAATTATTATGAATATATTATTTCTTTAATTTGATATAACAGAATAATGTATTTATAGGTGATTGGAATGCATTATTTTTCTCCAGTAGATAAAATGCAATTATTAGAAATAATAACACATAAAGGTACATCCACTGAAACTATTAAAACTGCAGTTGATGTAGGTTTAAAACAAGGGAAAATAGTTATTACTGTTGGAGATGGTCCTGGATTTTATACAACTAGAATTCTGTCTGCTATGTTATCTGAAGCCACCAGGTTATTGCAGGTAATATTTTTATTCTTTTTCATAATTTAAAGAGAAGAAAATTCAAAAATATAATATTCGATATAAAAACAGGAAGGTGTGGATCCTATAGATTTAGATAGTATGTGTAAAAAGTTTGGCTTTCCTGTTGGAACAGCCACTTTAATAGATGAAGTTGGCATTGATGTTGGTGTTCATATAGCTATACACCTTGGAAAAGTATTAGGTGAACGTTTTAGAAGTGGAGATGTAAATATATTCAATGATATGATTCAAGCTGGTTTCTTAGGTATTCAGTTTTTTTATTATGTATATTTTATTTTTTATAATTTTATTTATATATATGTTATTTTTCAACGAAATATATGTCATTTTTAGGGAGAAAATCTGGCAAGGGAATATATGTGTATGAAGAGAATATTAAAAACAGGAATCTTAATCTTGCAGCATTAGACATTTTGAAGAAATACAAACTTGAACCAAAAGGAAGTACGTCTTTTGAAGATCGTCAATTCAGATTGGTGTCTCGGTTTGTTAATGAAGCAGTACTTTGTCTAGAAGAAAATATTTTGGCTAACCCGGTATTATAAAATTTCTCATGTATTAATAAATCATTATATTATTGTTGTGTTTTATTAAACATAAATATTTTTACAGGTGGAAGGTGATGTGGGCGCTGTTTTTGGATTAGGATTTCCTCCATTTACTGGTGGGCCTTTCCGTTGGATAGATTCTTATGGTGCTGATAAATTGGTGCAAAAAATGGAAGAATTTCAAAGTCACTATGGTGAAGCATTTAAACCATGTCAAATGCTATATGATATGGCATCTGAACGAAGTAAAAAATTTTATAAATAAGAAAACTAGTTGATTTATAAGAGGAGTGAAATGTTAAAGTTTTGAAAGTACATATTTGATATTTTAATAGTTTTATATTTACCTAAAAAAAGCAAGAATAATATTTAGAAATATTATATTTTTTGATAAATATCTATATTGGTGGTAGCCTTTAACTTTAAACTTTTTTCAACTATCAATGCAAATTGCGTGTTTGTTATAAGATTTTTATATCGTACATCCTTTAAAATAGAAATATTTTCATAATCTATAACATTAAAATATATTTTTACAGTTTCTCAAAGATACGAATAAAATGTACATATATGCTCTATTTCCAAACATAAAATATATAGTTTTTGCTATTTATAGAATTATGTAGTTTATTAAAAGAAATTTTAATAACAAGTTTCCACTAAAAATGTATAAATCTTCATTATATGAACTTAACAACGAATGACTGATAATTACACACGAATAAATTTATCGTCTAATTACCATTTTTTATTTCCTATGAATTATGAAAGATGTAGGAGTGGAATTCTTGTTCTTGATGCAATGTTTAGAAGATATTGCACTTTCAGATATATGCTTGTTTATGAGCAAAAAGGATTGAATCCCTATTCATGATATATGTCATGACGACTTCGACGAAAATAAATAAATTTCTATTGTAAGTTGAACATAAGAATTTAATATAATTACAATTTCATAAAAGTATAATAATAATTCATTTGGATTTAATATTTTATACTAAACAAAACAATTCTAACTAAAAGTAATTTTTGGTTATCTGTATCCTTGTTTTAAAAAAGCTTCAAGAAATAAAGAATACATTTTGTTATCTAATCTTATTTTAATTTAATATAATAATTAATTTCATTTTAAACATTATTATATTAAATTTATCAACAATTCATTACTATTATTAAACTATTATTTTAATTATTAAATTATTAAATTATTATTTCAACAAAGTTAAAAAAAGAAAAGTATAAAAAATAAAGCATTGTGCTTTTAATAACAAAGAGAAATTTAATAAAAGCAAGTAAGGGTAATCAAGAGAACATTTTACATCATCTACCGGTCCCACACCTGTTTGTGACATTTACAATATTAAAAGAACTCAAGTCCTTGGCTGATGCAAGAAACCACAACGTTTCGTGAGAAGCCATTTACGAGGCTCATGTCTTTAAATTGACCTGTATAACTTAATTCTATGCCAGTTTCCTAAGAATATAGAGAAAAACTTAAAAAAAATTTCTTATGATTCTTTTTCTTAAAATTTTTTAATTCTTTACGTTATTGAGAATTATTTTACTAAAACAAAACATTATTAAAGTGTAAATATCTACCATCATTTATATACATATATTTCTAATCAATTAATACCAAGAACTTTTAGTTACAGTAATTTCATTCAAAATCCGTTTAATATCGGAAAACTTTACTTTTAGAATACAAAAGTTAAATACAGAAATATTCAAAAATATAATTATATTTATTAGAAAATAGGTTTTTGGCAATTTTTCCACAAATATAAACTGTTGATAAAAAAATCTTATCTTAATTGATAGCGAATTATATTTGACGCTAATATGATTTTTTTAGAAGTATGAAAGTATAATAACACTTACAATACTTATTTTAATTTGTCCAAATTATAGTTTTTATTAATAATATATATAAAAAAACGAAACAAAACGTTCATGCAGTAAACGCACATATAAAGCTTATATTGCATTATTAAAATATAGCATATTTATGCGAATACTTTAAAAACTTTATAAAATTCTTCTGTTCTAAAAAATTTTTTACATATAAGCTTATATTTTATTCTTAGAGCTTTATCGAAGAAGGAGAGTAGATATTTTAGAAAGTATTGGAGTTTTCAAATTTGACCACAACTTAAGTGAATTTTAATCGTGCGTCCTACGCGCACACTAACACGCAATCGAGCTTTCTGTATGATGCGTGATGGAAACTGTTTACTGTGATATAAGATTTATGCGTTACTATATATTCTAATATTCTGTATTTCATACTTAAAGAATTTTGTTATCACACATTAGAAGTTAAATGGCTGGAATAACCCATTTATTAGTATGGAATAGTTATAACTATACAATGCTAAATTTTATGTAAAAAAATATAAAAATATATTTGAAATTTAAAAATAACCAAGGAATTGAAATATTGAATAACAATCCATATTTATTTTTTATTTTCGTGAAAACGCAATAGATAATGCATTATCAAATTTTTCCATTTCATTAATTATCTTAATCTATATTGATTTTGTTGTAAAGTTTAAAACTGCAAAATTTATGAAAAAAATGAAATTTTTTTTTTAATTTTCACAAATTTAATGTATATAATTATATCAAGTAAATAAATTAAGAAATTTATAAAGTAATTTACTTCAGACTTGGTCAAGCGAAAACCTCTAATTATAAAAATTGTATACAATTAATTATAACTTGTTTTTGTAAATTGACTCATACAGTTAGACGTTTAAGGGCATAGGAAGGACATTGTACGGACATTGAAGGCGTACTAGGTTTTATGTGCATTAACAATAATTTTATATGAAAGTATATAAGTTGTTTAATTAATTTCTGATTTTGTAGAAAAATTATTTAAAATTTAGTTTTATACATGATATTGAAGTCTTATTTTGTCTAGTACATCGCTTAACTAGACGAGTTATATATACATATATACATTTATATATGTTTTTAATTAATATACACACATATATATATAACTAAATTAAAGATAATGAAAATAGCATAAATCTTAATATTTTTGCATAGCCATTATATACATAATTGATAAAAACTGTTTTTGCATTCTTAAATAAATATTCTTTCTCGGTCAATACGCTTATGCATCACAGATCACAGACACACTTAGGTACTTGGTTCACGGACGGCAAAAGAAGCCTCATTTTATGACTTATCACCACTCCTCGTGCCTTTAAGTGTTTTTCTCTTTAAGTACGCTTTTGTTAATTCAATTTACACAATTATATGTGGCACACATTGAGGAAAGTATTAACAGTCGTATTTTTGCAATTTTCACATTTCAAATTCGAGATGTTACCCGCCAATTTTATTGTTCGACTGGGCGGACTTACGAAAATCCTTCTAGAATAAATTTTCTTGCAGAGAATATCTGTCGTTATGATAAAATGTTGCCTTTAATTATCATCAATTAATCTTAACTTTCTCATGCTGGAATGGTTCTTAATTGCGATAATTAAAGCTTGATTTTACAGCTTTAAATACGGCTTAAATATTAAATGATATCAGGTCATTGTTCTACTATTTTTTTTAAGCTATTAATTGCGTGCAATCATTTGTTGAGTGGATCGTGTTATTCGCGGCGCTATAACCGGAAGTAAGCTTACTCTTAAAGGCGTAGGTGTCATTTGCGTAACAGAAGGTCCGCTACTGTTGACATTAACAGACGATGATCTATCTCTGGTGTGTCGTTTAACGTGTTTTGCTAGATGATCGCTTCGCATGAATCTTCTCTGACAAACGGTACAAGCAAATTTCTTCTCTCCAGTATGTGTTCGTTTATGCCGCGAAAGTTCGTCACTTCTTGAAAATCGTCTGCTACAGTCTTCATAAGGACACGAGAATGGTCGTTCTCCTGTGTGGGTCCGTGTATGGGCTTTTAAATGTGATGATTTAAAATAATTCTTGCCACAACCTGGATGCTCACATTCATAAACACGCCGTCGTGCAGTTGACTCCGATGTAGTTACGCTTGATGTTGTCGCAGTTGTTGGCGCAGTCACTAATAAAAGAGGAGCCTGTGGAAGAACCAAAGGTGATCCTAAAAGTCCAGTTACCATAATCGGTGCAGGTTTGGGTGCTAGAGGATGTAATTTTGGTTGAACGGTCTCGCGGTCTGTGTTTTTATTATTTACAATAATCTCTTCTTTTCGTAGACTCATTTTGAATTTGAGACTCTTCAGTATGTTTTCCGGCTCTGTCATACTTTGCCGCGTAGTCAGTTCGGACTGTGAACTAGAGATCTGCCGTGGTTCATGTGGAACCGGCTGTGAGCACATTGTGGTAATCTTTGGTATTAAGTTGGCAGGACTGTAGGTACCATCTCGATTGGCACGCATTATCACCGAGACACGAGCTGGTTCTGGACTTGGCGGTGGTGTTCCGTCTAAGAGTAACTATTCAAAATAAATACAAATTTGTCAAATTTAATTTTTTTTTTAAATATTTAGATTAATTTTAAAAAATTTTCATATACATCGAAGAAATTCTTATTTAAAATAACTATAGTTATGACAAATATAATTATTAAATCTACAAACTATATCTTTTAACAAATATTATAATTATTAAATCTACAACTATATCTAAAATTATTAAAAATAATATTAAAGGTTTTTCATCGTTCGTTTAAAAGCCATCTATTCTAGAAGATATAGAAATTACGTTGTTTTCTAACTATCGTCAGAAGGTATATAAACCATTTACTCGAAGGATAAGCAACAAAAATGGTGTAAGAGTGAACGCACGCCAATAAATGGGGTCATCTTGCAAAACAACTTTATAAAGTATGCGCGCATGCGTCTATGTACATTGGAGTGGCCAGTCGATCGGATAGAAAAAAATCAAAAAGAGAGAGTTTTGCAACGAGTACACACAGAAAACTGTTTGTATCTAATAATATATAATACTCACTTTTGCCAATTCGCATTGTTCCACACATCGCTTTTTTCGAAGAGGTTCATCTTCCTCTGAATCAGAAGGTTGTGGAGTTGGAGGTAGACCAGGCCGTGCGTTTCCATCGTCATTTCTTTTCACGTTTGTATCAGCAGCCTTCGTTTTTTGTAGAAGCTTGTCTCCTAAAAGTGCTGCAACGCTGAACGGAGACTGAAGCGGTTCAATCTGAAAAGAAAAAAAGCAGACAATAATGAACGATCAGAGTAATTACAAATAGAAACTCGACGAGATCTCTTGAAAATTTACGAAACGAAGAGAAAAGAACGAAAGAAAAGAAAAAATGCAATGCTAATGACACAAATTACGAATAAAAATCGACGAGATACGATGAAGAATGAATTTAAACGAAACAAAGCTGTGTCGTCGTTTCTAGCTGCGTTCATATTTCGCGGGCAGTTAGTCAGTCTACAGTGGCGGTACTTTTAATTCAACATTCACTTACGTGTTTGAATTGGGGTGAGGCCGGTGGTGAAAGAGGCGTTTGATTAGCGTTCATTTTTTTAGAGGAAATGTGGTAAGGGTATATGCTACGTTAAAGAGGCTCGTCTGTTGATCAGAAAACGCGATCTCACGTATACCGTACTTTGAGTGAAAAAAGGCTAAGGGACGTAACCGTTGAACGGCTGGTAATGCAATGAAGCTTTCTCAGGTCGGTTGGCTCGAACACCGTGCTGGTTGTGTGTGTGATCATGCGGCGCGCTTCACTCGGACCAATCGCGTGGAGGGGCTCGTCGTAGTCGACCAATCAGAGAAGTATTATCAGCCGATGACCGCGTGATCACCGGCGTGCTGTTCACGTGCTCGCGGTCTGACTGAGGCCGTGATCATGACGTCAGTCTGCGTGGCGCGCTCGGTCGATACGTCATGGTATCGCTGCGCTCACTAAGCGTCATGCAGCTTCAACCCTCCTACACCTTGCAAAGTTATCTGACTCGCTCTTTCTGTCTCTCTGCGTTTCTCTTCTTGCGATTCTTCATCGGTATAGTCTGGCAGAACGCGTTGCCTGGCAAACCACGGCGAGCCTCCGAATTGTTTCGCCACACTCACTTTTCCCCCTTTGACCCGTTGTAATGTGAGAGTTTCGTAAGTTTGCGGTATAAAGGTTTTTTTCTTGTACATACATAACAGCACATAGTACGCTTCAATGATTTCACTTCTACTTGTTTCTCCATACATTCAGCTACCATTTTTGACGATGATGATGTTTAACGACTAACAGATAAACGAGGAGAAATGTATGTACTGCAGTTCTAGGAATATCATTCACCGCTCAACATCCTTATCATGTCAGTCTTCAATACTGAAAGTCTACAGCGACGCATTTGCAGCCGCTTTGGCAATTATTGCATTTAGATTTCTCTCGTCTCGTTTTTGAAACACATATTTTTTGTTTCTTGAAGAAACGATATAGAAAGAAATGCATATGGTATATAGGGAGGATTAAACGGCTAACAGAAAAATTTGAGAGAAAGTTGTATTTTAACGAAGAAGTGTTCTGATGCAGTCTGCTATTAAATGTATTAAAATTAAATATATCGGTCGTCTACTTTGCAACTCGTTAATTCGAATTCAGCTTGGGTGGGTGCTGGTCTTTGACTCCTTTGCCTCTTCCTCTACCATCATTCTCTAGTCCCGTTGCATTTTTCAGCAGCGCCCTCTTCGCAGAATAAATTGCTCGGCTGGATGTCTAATCGAATGTCTGCATTGGCACAAACTGTTTATTTAGAGTTGAATTGTTTAAAAAAGCAAAGATAACTTATATAAGAAAAGTGACAAATTAATGAATTTAAACGAAACATTATTTTATTACAAGCGTTACTTTGTTCTTCTTTTTCAAGATTTTTCTAACACAACTATAGCACACAATTTCCTCGAAGGCCACACGTAACACTATGCTGCATAATAGATATCATTTATAGATACAGGAAATTGCATTTTCTGATGCTTAGATTAGAAAATTTCCTTCCGTTTGATAAATCTATTAATGATTGTATAGTAATTTGACTTGAAAATACGAAAATATTCATAAAACGGAGATGCTGATTTGGCCCACATATCACGATTGCGTACTAAAACAAAATGGAGTCGCAAGAAGATAACCAATAGTTAACTTACAAACAACAATCTGACAACTAATGTTTATTGCATATCATTAATCTATTATATTGTCTTTGGCTCTTCTTCTTCTTTCGAAATTCATTTGTCGTGAGAATCGTTATTTTCTATTTTTAAATATCATCTTCTTCTATCAGCTTTTCTAAACTTTTTATGATTTTCAAATTTCAGTTCATAGGAAACCATAATATAAGTTAATTAAATTACGAACATATCTATCTATTATCATTGTATAATTCACATGACATGATCTACTTAAATGGATTTAAAATGAAATTATTAATTGATTTCAATGAAAATTGAAAAATTTTGAAATTACAAATCTTTTTTTAAAATCTAAAGCATAAGCTTCTTTTCATGTTTTTAAAGGAACGAACACTCTCTTTTTTATGGATTATGAATCCTTTAACATAAGGGACTTTTCGATTTAATATCGTCTTAATGAAATCAAATTATTCAAAATATTACTCGAATTATTTCATGTTCAAAGTCGAAGCCATTGAAAAAAACAATCTACGTCATAATCGGCTTTGAAAATAGAGCATCCCGTAACAGCTTGTTACTTAATCGTGTTGAGTATAGGGCGACATATAATTGCGTATTCTTATCAATATGCAATATATATTGTAACGATTCATTAAGAATAGAATGACTTGTCACATCGACCAAACATGGGAACGTAATTTCCCGTCTAATTTCCTGATTGGATGAATTGTTAATTTCGTGTTCGTCTATAGGTTTTTGTTACATCGAATCAGGTGGAAACGTAAGATCTCAAATCAATTCCATGTAACCACATTCTATGTGACTTTCCACGTATATCCATCAGTTTCTTATCGCTATTTTTTCTTTAGGCAGACCTCTTATCACGCAGCAAGCAATCGCATGGAATATTACTATGTAAATTCTTTTCTCTTGATGTTTTTACGTTTCTAGTAAATTTGATTTTATCGTTCGATATCTTCGCTGTTCTCTACGCTTTGTATTGCGATTAGTATTCGATGAGTATTCTATACTTATTTATGTCGCCATGGATAATCGACAATGGTTCCCAGGAACAATCAGACGACACGCGATAAAATTAGAATAATGAAGTATAAATCACTGTAATTGTTTCTTTCATAACAAAAACTTTTATCGAAAAATTTCACCCGGTGTTTCATCATTCCTTTATCGGTTATTCGTATAATGCACCGAACTATAAACGTCATTTGTCGCTTTTAATAATTTTACAGTCTTTAATTAACTTATATCGATTCTCATGAGCAGCCACGCGTCCCGCCGATTTGACGAATGGCTACCAATGTTCACGATAGACAACAAGGGAATCATTCGACGAACTCGTGATCGATGATCATGTGTGCGTCTTCTGTTCACGCTTTATCGCTACTTCGTATTAACTCCGCAAAAGTATTGCTGACATTGTTTTTAAAATAAGAGGATGCGATGGAGGAGCATCCGGTACGATTAACCGAAAGTTCGTAAAAATTGGATCTCCAAATGTACAGTGTATCTTGCATTGAACGTATTCAAAACAGTCGACCCGTATCTCTGCTATCTTACTTTCTCCGAGGGCCTCAAGGCCGGCCGCACGACCTTCCCCGATCTTCGTATTATATAGAGGAGTGTATTGTTTTGCAATCCTAATTAATAACATGACTGAGGTGACTGAACGTAACACGCATTTTAAATGTGCACCAAACAAAGGCGAAATGCGTGCACAAAAATAGCGACCGTGTTTAGTATATGTCAAGAAGGCGTCGAGGAGTAGTAATGTAATGCTTATCTGAAAATTCGTTGAAGACAATTTGTTAAAGTTTGTATTTTGAATTTAAAATTTCGAAAATTCACAATTTTAAAATTTTGAAAATTCAAAATTGTCAAAACATCAAATTTAAATTAAATATACATACCTATTTATAAGCGGATTGTGAATTTTTATTCTTATAACATTTAATTATATTCATAAAATTATAAATTTGTGTATAGAATATTAAAGTTTGTATCGAATAATAACATTGTTATTAATGCTATGTAATTGTTTTGTTGCCTTGTTACACGTAACAAGGAAAGTTGGTAAAACCGAGAATACTGTTGTCGTAGAATTTCCTAGATATTTATCTCTATACTAGTTATCAAGTAAAAACGTAGATCAAGATTCTTTGTTTGAAAATATGGACGTTTGCGTCAACACAAAGGCTCGCCTGCGGACGTGTGCATACGTCGATCGAGTTCGTTTAGTTTAGGGCGTACTACTACATCATCAGCGTTTTTATTCCAATGCAATGATACTGCTGCTAAAGCTAAATTATTCAACGATTACTGTTCAATTACGAGAAAATGCTGTGCATACTTGTCCGTGTAAATAGAATTAATGCATTTATTTTTGCGACTGTTTGCTATAATATCGGGAATACCAGTTTCTTCTCGTAACTATCTCCGTCGTTTTAATTTCCTGCTCTCGCCATTAGCCTTGCACTGGCTTTTCTTTTGTTCGACCTTCAGACAGCTCTTCGATAGAATTACAATTATCTTATCCTTTATTCATCATTTGTGGTTTCTTGTCATGTAAATACAACTGTTGACAATTTCGTAATATGTAAATACAATCTTATTTTTGGCAACGCTTTCGCTTAACTTTCAAATTGCTCGAAATCTATTTGTTGTAATTAAGGCAACAAGAGAATTTTCTTTATGAATTTATTAATTTTTGAATGAATTAATTTTATATTATGTATAGATTGAACATAGTCACGCAATTTCATACTTTTATCAATAAGAAAACATTGGTACTACATTCAACTAAACATTTGCACCTTCAAATTTTCTATAAATGCATAAGAATCTATAGTCTGATTATGTATGTAGTGTCTGTTGTTGAATTCGTCTTGTTTGTTTGTGGTATCCACGAATTTGAAAGGATGGGGTGTATCGGTTAAAAAGATTACAGCATACCTTCATGGAAATTAATGCGTAAATACAGCGGCTTGTGGCCAAATACTCGATGGTGGACAGTGTTTATATTGTTGGTGGAGATGTATTTGATATATCGCGAGATTTGATTGCGGATGCATTTGCTGCAAACTCGTCTGAGTTCACTGTTCAGTCGAGTCGTCCGAAAATAGCACGTATCTCTTTCTCTCAGCAATAGCAGTGGAAATAATTGGTCTTTGACTTGTTTACATTCGAAGAAACGGTGCCATGTAAAAATTGGATCAAACTGAGGATATTTCTCGTTCACGGCCGAAGAAACAAACAAATATAGAAAATAAAAATCTTCAGCTTCAATTTTGGGAAATAAGTATCGATAATGACAATATTTCACCTGTAAAGAAAACAAATATATATATATATATATATATATATATATATATATATACTTTGTCTGTGAAATAAAAATAAGATTATTCGATTAATGTATTTGAAAATATGACAAATTGAATAATTATACTTAATAGTGGACAAAAAAAGATTGTGTTGGATAGAAAAACCTAACCCCTATGCATGCATTCTATATTTAATCCTGACATAGAATACTTAAAATCCATGTAAACAGTTAGTGCACAATGTAATTTGTCGGTACACATGATATCTTTGGTATCTACTGTATATAAAAAAGTTTCAATTCGATTATTAAACGAAAATAAATTAAACCACAGACAAGATATATGAGTAGACTGCAGACGAGGTTATATACCTCATTTGTGAATAGACCTACATGCAATGTTTTTTTTTTATGCCACGATTTTGGAGTTCGCGACTCTTATCATTTTTGTGTCACATCCTGTCGTACCGATTTAGGCACGTTTTGTACTACAGCACTACTAGTGATGAGAATTCAAATCAAAAAATATGGACAGTGTTGCCACATTCGTTTTAAGAAATATTTATTAAATTGAACGTGGTGATACTTCATCAATGAAGAAATATAATGATTTAAAATAGTGATTAATGAAAATTGGGATGAAAAATTTATTATATATTTGATTATTTGTATATATTTAAAAGAAAGATATTAGAAAAAAATTGATTGAAATTTATTCTTTAACAACATAATTAGATATGAATTAGATTAGACGACGGTTTTAGTGTGTAACCTCAAAACTATTTGAATGAATCTTACAAAATCGATTTTATAAAAGCTTGGAAGTATCAAAGAAATGTTTTTATAAATATTGTTTGGTATAAAGTTACAATGTATGGTGTAAATTATTTTTTGCAGATCATTTTTGAAATTTCGAAGTCAAATTCATTTTCTTAAATGGGATAGTTATTTATTAAGACAAATTCAGTGACTTACATACGAGGTCATTTGTTGTTATAACTTGTTAAAAATTAATAAGTTATTGTTTGAGTTCAATAAAATGATGAGAAAAATCGTACAGCTAGTTTTAAGAGCTCATTATAAAGGGAAGCTTTCAATTTTTAAGATCATGATTGATCTGACTATGAAAAAGAATTGTTCAGTGATGGAAAAATTTCTCTTTGGTGAGTCCTGAATTTTTACAATTTTCGAGAAGAGAAGTATTGCTACTTTTACATTTTTTGCATGATAAATATCTTTGAACGAAACAAACTTAAGATTATTAAAGTGGAGACTTCACTCTTTAAAATAAAATCAAGTTAATTGTTCTGCAATTATTTTTCACGTAATTATAACAGTTTAAAATATTGATCAAATTTTTCATCTAGTGTATGAATATTTTCGTTTTTTTAAAAGAATTTCTCATGAATTTTGCGTATTCATTTTGGACCAGAGTTTTTTATTTCTTATTCCCAGTTAACATTTCGTATGAAACGCGTGATTATAGTGCCCCAACAGTGAAATATGCAATATACTTCCTACGGTTCTCGAACATATCGATATTTCTCACGATCGATTTTTAAACGGAAAACATGGCGGAAAGGAGCACACCATATTTGTGAAGAAGAAAGTTTTGTCCAGAAGAATTATTCAGGAAAAAAGTATCAACAATTCTCAGGTAAAAATATAAATCAGTTGTCAGATTTTTTTATTTTTAAAATAAAACGTGCATTTTTTGTTCTAATTCAAGGTAATATTTAACCAAATAATTATTATAACAGAACATACCATGTTGAAAATTATTTATAATTCTTAACAATTTCAATATTAAATTCAACAATAATTTATTAAGAATGTATTAATAGTTAAAATAATAATTTTACTACGTAATATAATAAAATTTCTCATGTCTTGACAATTGACAATTTTTTATCAAGTGTGTGAATATTTTTGTTTTTTTTAAAGAATTTCTCATGAATTTTGTATATTTAACTTAGACCAGAGTTTTTTATTTCCTATTTCCAGTTAACATTTCATGTGAAATGTGCGACTACAGAGCCAACAGAAAAGTACACAATACACATCCTACGATTCTCGAACATATCGATATTTCTCAGGATCAATTTTTCAACGGAAAGATGGCGGAAGGAAGCACACCTCGTCTGTGTGACGAAAGAAAGTGTTCTTCAGAAATATCACTCAAAAAGAAGTATCATTCAGAAATTCTCAAGTAAAAACTTCAATCAATAGTTGTTAGATTTGTGTTTGTGTTTTGTATTTTTAAAATAAAAAGTGATTTTTTGGCTTTAACTCAAGGTAAAATTTAACCAAATAATTGTCACATATAATTTTCAACAATTAAAGAAATAATGGCATATAAATGTTGAAATAGAACATACAATGTTAAAAGTTATTTATAATTTTGTACCAAAATGTAATTTCAATTTAAATGATTCTACAAACATATCAATTCTACAAATATTGTGATCTTGTAATGTGACTATATATGCATATATATGCCTTTATTTCTATTGTAACATTTACTACTCATTTATTATTCGTTAACTTCATATATTACGTAATTCTTTGCAATATTTAAAATTACGAAACAATTCCAATATTAAATTTAATAGTTTACTAAGAATGTATGTACGTATCTAATAGTTAAAATAATAATTTTACTACGTATTATAATAAAATTTCTCATGTCTTGACAATTGACAATTTTTTATCAAGTGTGTGAATATTTTCGTTCTTTTTTAAGAATTTCTCATGAATTTTGTGTATTTGATTTAGACCAGAGTTTTTTCTTTCCCAGTTAACATTTCGTGCAAAACGTGCGATTACAGCGCCTCAACGGTGAAATACGCAATATACTTCTTACGATTCTCGAATCATGATCGATTTTTCTCACGATCGATTTTTAAACGGGAAACATGGCGGAAAGGAGCACGCCTCATCTGTGAAGTAGAAAGTTTTATTTGGAAGAATCATCCAGAAGTATCTTCAAGAAAGAAGTATCTAACAAAAGGTAAAAATATAAATCAATAATTGTTGAATTTGTATTTGTGTTGTGAATTTTTAAACGTAATAAATAAAATAAAACGTACATATTTGTTTACCTTCAACTCAAGGTAAGATTTAACCAAATAATTATTACATATAATTTTCGACAATTAAATAAATAATAACATGTAAACATTTAAACAGAACATAAAAAACAACAATACGAACATAATGTTTATGTTCATCTTACTTATCGTGTTTGTTTGGACAGGATCACCCCATCCCCTACTATTTTCTCAATTGAAGGACGAGACGTGTGGCAGAGAGTCATTCAACTGCTGGATTTTGTGACAACACGCATTACGTCGCATTAGTACGTAACTTTTTCTAATCTATCGATGGCGTTGTTTCTTCTACACTCTTTTACTTCTATTTATACTTCATTAGTAGTATTATTTAGTTAATACATATAATTAATAGTGTTTAACGGTTCATTAAGCATTACGACAATGAAATCGTGTAGTGCTTTCCACGCCAATTTTTCTTCAATCATCGATTTCACTCGTACGGTTACCTGTAGCTTGTCCCGTACGCTTTTTTAATAGAATTTGAAGTCAATTATCGTTTCATTTTTACACATTTGCCTTTATTTGACGCATTTGTTCTGGCTTCTGACTTCTTTTTGTGCAGGTTATTCCTTGATTGCAAAGATAGCATAGACGCCACGATCATTATTGGACAATCTGATGAACTTTCATGGAAAATTGGTAACATTTTATTCATTTTGGGTAACATTTGGTATGCACTTTATATATATATATATAGATATATATACATATATTTGATATACAATTCACAATATGTAATTTCGTGTAATTATTTGGAATGCAAGGATAAAAATAGAAAAGATTAAATCAATTGATATTTTATTTCGAGTATGAAGATCGTAGTAGCTTAATGGTATATACTTTCAAATGGATATATATTGTATTAGTTATTAAATTCAGTTTTGTACTTTACTATACTATACTTTGCTACAGTATACTTCTTTCGAACGCAATTAAACGATTCAGAGCAAGATTTCACACGTGTATGATTTTCTAAATATATTTAGTTGTAAAATTTTTATTTGTGCAAACATTTTCTAACACGCGACGTGATATACTGATGTGCATACTTCATATTCTAATAACGAGCATTCAAAATACAATTTATGCAAATATTGAAAAATACTTTGTAATGTCCAACTAATATCTTTAATGCATACTCAATGCATTTATATTGATATTATAATTATTATATTTTATAATCATTTTCTAGGAAAACAGCAGTATTTTCTAAATAAACGTACTCTTTGTCCTTCCCTTTCTAATCAGCTTTATTTTCAGAAAATTTTGGTGACCGCGCACAATGTGGTCGGTAGAGTCAGTTGTTGTTACGCAATGTTTTAATATCATTTTGAGTAAAATGGCATATTAATTCATTTAAATTATAATTCGCGAAGTTAAAGTCAGTGAGTCCGCCGATTAGTACTTAAACGCGCGCGTTGGTAGTCGTTTATTTTTCTTTTTTTATATTTTTTTTTATTCAACATTCGTTTTCGGTATATTAGAGTCAGTGCTCAAGAGGATAAGGCCTCACCAGGAAATAAAGACCGTAAGTAAATAGTTCAATTTATTCGATTTTTCAAATTTGATAACAAAGTATAATGTTTGACGTATAGTATTGCAGACACTTCACAGCATAAACTTTTTGATATATTTTGGGGAAAATCCAACGGTAACTCCAAAGCCAAAAATGTAAGAATCTCTCATTATCTCTAACTTAAGATTTTGCTTTGCTTTTAAACATAAATTCTAATGTTTAATGTTTTGTTACAGATTTTCTACAATTTCCACTTCCCCTAACCTTTTAAGGATCTTATGATGCTTCAAAAGCTAAAAATGTAAGTACTTTAGTATGTTGTATTTGAATTCTGTTCTCTATAGTACTCTTTCTGTTGTCGAATGTAAAATTGTAATTATAAAATAAAAACACTTCACATTATTAGTTCGCATTTTTATCATTATTAAAATTTAAATTTTCACCAATAATATCGTGTCTTTAGAAATAAAATATTTTATGTTTTTCAGGAAATTTTTCACGGCATTCACTTCCATCATGGGTATCTACTTGATGAGGATCTTCACGATAATTTTCCCTAGTCTAGTGCAGCATCGATGATAACGTTCTTCACATCTGTTGCGTGAGTCGCATGCATTTAAGTTCCTCCGGTCACTCAATCATGTCGTAGGACGAAAGGTCCGAATCGGCACGTGTGACTGGTTGTATACGTAGAATTTTTGATGAGCATAGTGACCGCGGATATTTTTTATATCCGTGAGTAGTAACATCTTTTTCAGGTTTTTTATGTGTNGCGTGTCCAACCTGTTTCAGGAAATCCAATTTGAAAAATCGACAATGAAATTGGTACAAGTTGAGCATGCCACTTGTTTCTGATTTTATTCTTCGATTTTTCGAATTTAGTATCGCGGTCGTGGTCGCGGATAGGCCGCGAGTAGGTTCCGAATCGAACGTTTATGTAGGTATTGCTCGAGCATGCACATGCGAACGGACAACGATCACTATGATCGATGGTCGTCCATGTGTATCATGGTCAGCTTTCGCGATTTATCTTTTCATTTCACCTTTATAAGTTATTTTTTGGTTTGCGATTAGAAAGACTCGAGCTAGACGTAAGTTTCAGCGGGCATTGCGCTCGAAGAAAAGAAGAGGCTAGAAGCCGAAGAGGCCCGGCAAACTGTCACGAAGAGGGTCACAACAAATGGCTTCTCATTTTCTGGATCATTTAAATGATTCCAGAGTATGGGAGGTCATTCTTGTTACTACTTTGTCACTATGCTCTTTTAGTATTTGTAGTTGTATTTTTTTTTCTTCTCCATCATCGTTCATCTTCGTTTTGGGCAAATCGCGTTTTTTTTTTGTTAGTGTTGCGAGAAATTGATTGACGGTTTACATTAAAGTTGCGAAAAAATGATAATCGTGTTTCTTTTAGAGTTGCGAATTATGATTTCGCGATAGTGAATTTTTAAAGTTGTTTTAGAGTTATACGTAATAAAATTTATCTTGCTTCCTATTGTTTTGAATTAAATATAGAGTTATTGCTTTTAATTAATTTTGTTAGAGTGTTAGAGTATTTAAAGTAGCTTTTCGTTCGTACAGTTTTGTATTGTTAATAATAATTTTCATTGAATTTAACATTGTTAGTATTGCGATAATGAATGATCGCGTTTTTTGATGTAGCGTTGCGTTTACAAAATACCCAAATTTTTCCATTGAATTCGTGGAAAGCCTGCTCCTGGATTACCTGATGCAGCTACAAGAGCTGTACAGAAGTGGTTATTCATCATCAATCTCCAGCATGATTGCATTGGACGCGTCGCAATTAGTGTTGCGCATTTTTAAACAAGAGTGCATAGATTTATAGCGTTGCGTACTTATTTTCGGGAGTATTAAACATAATAAAGCACTCTTCGCGTTTGATGTTGAAAATTTCCTATTTCTCAATTAGTGCTAGTGAATTAGTGTTGCGAAGATATTCGAGTTTGTTGCTCGGGTTCTTTTTTTTTCCAAATGTCGGAACTGTGGCGTGGAATTTTTCTGTTAGAGTTTTTTTAAACTACTAATCCAACAAATAAGTTTGTTACAGATTTATCAACTTCCAATTTGCATAGATGAAAGATGAAATAACATGGACTATGGAATTTCATCATCAAAGGGAATGACGCCTGAGTCCAGTGCTAATTAATATATCTTGTTAAATTTATTTTACAAATCTTTTTGACATCCACAAAGAAGATCGCACGTAGAATACACTAAATATAGAAAATTCTATGAAATATTCAAAACAACAGAATGCTCGTTACAAAAGTTAATGACAAGTAATACGAGTTGATTGGCTGCGATCTTGGTGTTTGTGTAAATCCATTGTGTGTACATATCTATTAGATTAATAAAAAATAAATAATATGTAATTCTGATATCTGGATAACTAATTTGTAAAATATTTCATGCGAATTTGTATATTTTTTGTACAAAAATATTTTAGAAAGTTTAGGATTAATTATTTCTTCTACAATAATTATATCTCTAAAAAAAAAGTTGTTCTTTCTTCTTCTCTTTAATTTTTCGCATATTATAAAATTTATTAGTTGATAAGTTTTTTAATATTTTATTAATAATTATTAGAATTAGAATTTTAGAATTTTAATTTATTATATGAAAAGAATTGTAATACCGTAGATAAAGTCCTTTTTGATATATAGTGGAATTTCGGTTATTTACTAGCTTCATATTTCGATATTGAAAATTTGACAACACTGTAATAGATTTCAAAAATCATATTTCTTGCGCATTTACTACTCGATCAACTTCGATCGTTTTGCTTGATGTAGTTCTTCAATTCACCGTTGTTTAAGCATAGAATGCGCTAAAAAACTAATGATTCGTTTATCATGTCGGTATTTCAGAGCATGGGACACGAAACGCTATGATTTAAAACTACGATTCTGTCGTAGATGTCGCTAAAGAAGTTGTAAAAGTTACCAACTAATAGTTACAATTATTTTTCATCAAAAATTAGTTGCTGTGTATAAAGTGGATTTTTGAAAACAAAACCCAAAACAAATATCAACGTTAACGTCGTTGATCGATTATTTTTAATCTGTAATAATATTTTTATACGAGTCGTTAAATTTATTTTGTGATTTAAAAGAATGGTGATCGCAATTTTCGTTATCTTTTTTTTTTATATCAGTTCCTTTCAGAAATTTAAGAAATTCCGTAAGCTGAATTTCATAAATAAATCGATGTTTCGTGTCTTGGCGCACTACCGCCATCTGATATACTCGACAAACATTCTCCGCCGGTAATCGTACCTTTAAAATTTCCCGCTTTTGAAAGCCGGACCGCGTAATGGGCGGAGCTTCCCCTCTCGCGAGTTCTCCCGCTTTCTAGCATGTAGTCACGCTGCATTTGGAGGAGTGGGGGTTGTTTGGTATCGCGTTTGTTTAGTTGCTCGCTGACAGCGGCCGCGGTACGAGTACGTCGTAGTGCGTGTGCACGTTTTTTTTTTGTCGACATTTGTGCGTGAAAAAACGCGAGTATCGAACGCGGGTAAGAAGGAATCGCAGAAACGGTTTGAAAAACAGTCGAAAACCGTTCGAACGAGGAAGTATCATTTATCAGCGACGTTATATTGTTCGGTGATCGGATAAAAATCGTATCTTTGTGCCTGTCAAAGTGTTCGTTGTTTTTTTTGGCTTTTTTATCTCTTTGTCTCCTGGCTTTGTTGTTGTACAAACCAACCTGTTTCTCGCCTAACGCTAATTCTCGTTGCGTGTGCTGTGTCACTTGTTATATGTCGACGACGTCACGACGATTTGGGACGACTGATCTTCGTCTTCTCACGCGTAGCTGCGACGATGTCAGACATGTCGACGTTGATTTGGTGATGGCAGAACGCAGAGGATGTCACGCCGCAAGCAGAGCAATCCAAAACCATTGAAACGTGAGTCGTAATCGATATGCGATTCCTACATTTTCTCCCATGACTCTTTGCCGCTTCTTTCGTTTATATGTTCGGTGTGTTCGTCCGTGTTTCTCACATAACGCATGTTAAATCGTGTTCGTCGCGCGCGGCGAGCTACCCGGAAAAACGGGTTTCTCGACGGCGTGCTTTTAGCCGGTCGCCACGTTGCTTGACAGGTGATTGGGCGTCTTTGCTTGTCAGACCGCGTTTCCAGTCGACACTTACACGCTATGCAAACTGCTTCGACTGATTTGCATCGGTTTTAATTCTTTCGGAAACAACCCTTCCCGTCATTTTTGTCAGTTTATATCTCTTCAAACGAGAGTTTGATTTTGCATCGCGTGTCCAACCAATCAGCGTTCACATTGCGACTTCTTATTGGCGGGAATGTACCAACATCAATTTGAAGTTAGGGGTATGTCAAATTATTCGATTTTAGGGAATCAATCGTGCGTACGATGCAATATTGTCTGTTTCGTTTGGTCGATTGGAATGTTAAGTTGTAATAGCTGCTATTTGGAGAGGACAGTTGTCATTTGATAAGTTTGTTGTCAGCTGATCTTTCAAATTCTCGCAGGTCACGTGGTTAACCATAAATATAGTGCTTGAACCGTGTATGCCAATGCGTTGTAGAAATAATTGTATGCCAAATTAATTAAAATAATATTACACCGTCAAAAATCGTTTGGAGTCAACATTTTATTAAACAGCAGCCTGTGTTGAAGTATAAACGCGTATATATAGTATATTAAGCATCGGAAGTATGTTTCTGTTTTATTATATATATCACAAACTGTTATTGATTATAAAAACCAGCGTATTAAAAGTAGTTATTCGAATCGTTAGAAATGATAGAGTTTATTTCATCTTATTTATCGTTTATTGCATCTTCACTTTATTCAGAAACGTTTTTATATTGTTTTTATGGAATATTGTCGCTGCGGCATAATTAATATTTACATCCACAATCAATCATTCTATTTTCCTACTATTTTTCAGATGCTTGTCTATTTAAACAGATAAAAATTTTGTAAATTTTTATCACAAAATAAAAGACATATTTAATTCATAGTAACTATATTTATAAAATCACTATGCCGATCAAGAATCAATTCACTATTTTGTTTAATGATATGCATACTATATTGCCAACTTTAAGTATTAAAGTGGTTAGCTCTTTTTATTAGAAAAAAGTAAAAAATTTTACATTGAAAGGGACATATGTGCAAGTGAAATGATAGATTCTTGATAAAATGAATGGCATTGCATATTTATATTTGCTTATCAAAGGTTTTTGCAGTTAGGCGTAACTTATATTTAAAATTTGCTGCTAGACTTTCGTAACGGGAAACAAATTCTGTAACTACACCAAGTGTTTTTTTTAATTGCTTCTTCTGCACAAAAAAGATAAATCATGTCCAAAGTATTCAATATTCCAGAAGATTGATAATCCTCTTTCATCACACTCTGCGCATCAAACCTCTATTTTCTATTTCTTCTGCTCCAATATTTTTTTCGGCGAATTCTTACGCAATCAGACGGACTCGGGGACACTTGCTTACCTACGGCCACCAATTAAAGCTTCCACGACTCGCAGGGCCTTTGTCGATGGTATCGAATTGGCAAAACGGGGATCATGGCACACGGGGATCGGTTCGGTTGCACGAATTCGTATCGCTGTATATATGTTTCTCGATCTCGGCGTAAAACCGATCGAGGCCAGACGAGATCGCGGGTGCCGATCCCGGCGGGATCCTTCGTCCCTCGCCGCCCTTGTGCTGCGGCTGGATCACGTGGTCCCGCGATCATGA